CCCACAGACTCCTGAGCTGTTCCACCATGAATGGCTGCAGCGTGGCAGTAAATACAACAGAACATGCAGCAGTGTGTGCACTCAAAGATATGACCTTCCTTATTTTACAGCTGACTGGCCATACGATGATTTAACACTGGCTAAACAAACCAGAGTGAGGACGGTGGTGCCTTCACTGTCCCAAGAAAACGGATAAACTGCTGGTAAAAACGTACAGGTAAAAATCCATAAAGCCAGAGATGAATTTGTTCACATACAGGTGGCGCCACCTTAAATTAAACTGTATGTTAGCTGTGCTGTTTGCAGTTTGCGACCGGCCGTGTGTGTGTGTGTGTGTGTGTGTGTGTGTCAGCACCAGTGACGAACTGTGATCAGGTGAATCATTTCTTACATCATCTTCTTCCTCTATATTTAACCTTCACAGGTGAAAATGTTAAGGTGTTCTTATCACTGCCGTCACTTCACTCTGAGAGTGTGGTGACTGTTGTTCCTGCTGTTGCTGTGACCCTGTTGCTGCTCAGAGCAACTACTTTCATCCCCTACTGCTGATATGCAAATATTAGTCAAATAAGTCAAATGTTCATTTGAATGAAGACAGTGGGAGAGGGTGGATGTGGATGTGGACGTGACACTAAACTTGTCTGGTAATTTGAAGCTGGCTTTGAGAGAGCAACTTAACCCTTAATGTCACTGTTGAAAATTAAATATTCATTTCATTGTTAGTTATTGGCTTGGATTGTTTTAAATTGGAAACATTACTTTAAAGTTAAAATCCTTTTTTTTATCTTTGATGTTTTCTTTAAAACAAATGACACTAGACAGCTGCCTGCAGTACATCAGAGCCAACAGTAGGGGAGTGGCCAAAGTCCCTTTGTACAGTAATCAACCTCACACTCTACTGTGGCCTGATATCACCAGCTTTACATGGTTACTGAAGAGCAGAACATGTTGGGTTTTTAAAGATAAATAAAGAAGTTTAATCATGTAAAACGACACGGCGCGGTTGGACAACTACATCAGCCACACTGGACATTTGTGCTGGGGAACAGTAGAAACCATATAACCTGAGGGAGACTATTTACAGAGAAAAACAGTGAAAATAGTGAGGAAAAAAATGACCATGTCAATTAGGTTAAGTTTAGATTTATACAGGTTTGAATGAAGCTCCATCTGATTTTACTTCTTTTTTGAAAAGTGAGAAAAACTCGATTTCTGTTCCCTGGATTTCTACTAAGTAATTCTCTTCTGGAAATGTCACTTGCTAAAGTAATTAAACAACTATTTCTCAATTTGTCTCATGACTTTCCACACTGGTATATCAGTGACACGTCTTGGTTGCGGCTTTAAGCAGCAGCAGACAAACATGTTTTAATGAGAAGCTCGGTGACAGCTCTGAACGCCTTCACCTGCACAGACAGACAGACAGCTGAGCGGATTAGCAGCAGTGAGCTGACTAATGCACCACAGATGCAGGTATTTAGAGATGACGGGCAGATCATTCCTGACTGTGATGATGTCAGAACGAGCCTGGTTCCAGTTCATTGTAAAAAATAAGAACAAAAAGAACAAAAAGACAAACAGCAAATACAAAGAGTTTTCCTGGACCTGCAGTATATTCCACCACTAATTGGTATTGAATGGAAACTAAACACTTTGGAACAGCCGACTTCAACACTGTGGCTGGCAGACTTAAAAAAAACAACACTTTATTCTCAGTGAAACTAATCCAAATAAATACAATAAATCACAGTGGAAGAGGACGTGAAAGTCAAAATATGTCAATAAATCCTGTTCTCACAGAGTAACTGAGGACAAATTCACAAGATCAACCATCAACAACCATCAACGACCAGATATGATGCAATGGTTTTTGTCTAGGACTCATGGTCCAGTTGAATAAACAACTTCCTCAATAGCAGATCTCCAGATCTTTCCAAACCTTGCACACACCAGTGCCTGTGAAACCCAACACTGTACAGCAGCAGGAGCCAGTGAACGCAGCCTCACACGTGTCAGTGAACAGCCGGTCACACTTCAAAAAACCTGATGTAAAGACTCAGCACCGACATCTCTCTGCTATTTCAACTTTTCTCACTCGAAGCTGTAAGAGCGACAGGACAGGACGGCCCCAGAGCGCTATCACATGATCCTCCTCTCGCTGCACTTGACTCAAAGAGCCTCTTCAGAGAGTCGGCTCTGGATGGAGACAGATTATCATGAAAGTGTAGACGGCTTCTTAGTTTGTAGATGAGATCAGAGCAGGTGTCAGTGCGTTGAAGAAGACAGAGCTGCTCGCATCGTGATTAATGAAGCAGCTTCAAACAGCTCTCGGGTTATCTATTGATTTCCGTGGTTGACCCGGCGCTGAATTAATTGTGCTGCAAATGTGCACGACTAACGCAGTGCCTTACAATCAGAATTATAATTTAGGGCCCGACATGAATTCAACGTCTGACATTCACGACCCAAACGGGAGACGGAATCTGTCAATGTGCAGCGCTGAGATGAAGCCTGGGGGAGTGATGGGAGTGAGGGGAGAAAGGGGAGTGAGGGGAGTGAGGGGAGTGATGGGAGTGAGGGGAGTGAGGGGAGTGAGGGGACTGAGGGGAGTGAAGATCAGGATGGGCAGAACGTGAGCTAAACAGATTTCTGTATCTAAACCTAAACATGTTGGTGTGAATAAACTGAAGATTTCAAATTAGATACTGTAATATGGATTACATTACCATGTGTGCACGTCAATAATATCAAATGAATGACAGTGTTGCCGTCAGCCATTTGTAAAGTAAACATGTTGAAAATCTAATTAATGAGGATCATCTCTGAGAAAAACAATTTTCTTTTCTCTTTTTTTTTTTACTGAATTCCAGTAATTTAATTTCCAATTTCCTGTGGTTAAAGGTCCGTTGATCATATGTGCAGCTTTTTATCAGCATTTCCTGGGTAGATAAGGAGAGAGAAACGGGCAGAGAAAAGCAGGGCACTCAGGAGCTCCTGCAGGCAAATAGAAAAAATAAACTGTGAGATGGCAGGTGGCTCTGTTTTTAATGGACCGTTTCCCTGAAATAATTTTGGGATAGCTGGCTGCCAGCGTTGGCAGACGCAGTCATTGCTGCCGTCCCTCCACACAGTTCTCTGCTCCTGTGCCATTTTAGTCTCTGAGGGAGGGCAGCTGGCACAACGTGACCCTCTTTTTTTAGGGAGGCAGTAGTAGAGCAGCAGTTTTTGGCTCTCAGGAGAAAGAATACGCCTTGGTGAGCTCTCTTCACTAAATCTTTTCTGTTTACTCCAGAGTTTTGGAGAAGATGCTGCCCTGGAGCTCCAATGAGTCAACCATTCACACACGCACAGATTTCCAGAGGGAGTTACTATAGGAGGAAGAGCTGCCTTGGTGTTTAATCTCAAAATCAATTGTTTGGAGCATCTATTGTCGGCAGAAATGCTGCGCTGGTAGTTTCAATCGGTTGGAGCTATTTGAGGAAGCTGTTATTGTCTATGTCCATATTCATCTGTCATTCAGCAACCACAAAAACACCTTCATCACAGCCACAGATACACAGGCCTTAAATCACTGCTTTTACACAGAACTCAGATGGATAAAAACCCGATATCCTGAACCTAACCTGAAGTCTTTTAATCTGTGACTATACAGGAGCAAATATGACATTAGAGCTGAGCCTGGAGTGACATCCACTGATATACTGGCCTAACCTCAGGATCAAGACATGACTTTTTGGCAGTACACTTCACATCTGTGGGTTTTTCTGTTACCTTTTCCATCAGATGATAAACAGGTGACAAACACCGATCATTTAACACAGAAATATAAACAGCTCCGTCCAGCCATGGCTCCATGACCCAATCTTCATTTTGAACACCATCATTATCTCCAAACAATCCATCTTGGCATCTTGGTTGTAAGAACACACAAAGAAAGTCAGAGGCTCTGAAGTCGGAGCCGCGTCATCGCTCACAGCAGTTCTGCCAAAATAAGACAGTTTTGTGTATTGATCTGTAGTGAGTAACTTCAACAGAGCTGTAACCGGACAACACGGAGATCCTGTTGGACTGTAAACACACGGTGAGGCTACCATGGGCACGCTGCCATGTTTTTATTGCATTACACGCAGGAAAATCTTGTTTGTACACACCAGTATCTCTAGACATCTAGAAGGAACACAGACAAAGGAGCTGAAACAGCTGGAAACTGAGTCACTGATGTAATGTGTATAGTAGTGTTATTTATAATTACTGCCACGTGGTTCATCGATTGGTCCATACACTCTACCTACTCCTCTATTCGTCCTTAGAATTGACCACACCAATGGAGACAAAGGGGCAGTAATGTGTGTGCCGGTGCGTAAAGTGTCGTGCACATCGCTGGTGATGGAGCGGCTACATTCACCACCATGTTTCTCAGGCAACCCAGCCTCCGCTCTGTCTCCATGGCAATGGCTCTGCAGTTTACTTCCTTTATACTGACAGGTAAAAGGTCCAGATTTCTGCGCCATCGGGTCATGAGCTCCAGCTACGGGACCGGTACACGGCTCTGCGCCCCGTGGTTTGAACCGATGTGTGGCGCCAGTGACAAACACAAAGGGATATTTTCAACGGGATTCCAGTCACACGACCTCCCAGTGTCCTCACACAGCGTCACAACTCGGGAGAAAATAGTAAGAAATATGCAATCAGTGCCATCGCAGCCTACACGGTTCTGCAGCCACTCGACTGTTAGTCAAAGCCAGAAAAAGCAACAACGTGCAGCATACACGGTGCACAGGCCTACAGCAGCAAGTGCTCTGGTCTCAGCAGCCGTATCCACATGCGCCGTGCTGGGGGTGGCTCGTGGCTCAGCCTCCACTGGCCGCCGCTGTCTCCAGCAGACCATGGAGGCTGAGTGGAGCACCATGCAGGGGATGGATGGGTGCGCGGCCGCGTTCGAAACCTGTGATTCTGGCAGGAGGGTAGAGCAAAAGGCAAACAAAAGGCACGCGTCTTACCCTTGGAAGCATCCTTGTCTTCTTTAGGCTTCGCCACTTTTCCGCTCATAGATCCCAGTTTGGATGTGTAATTCCTGATTGAGAGGAGAATGGAAATCCCTTGAACTGCTGAAAGCCCTCAGTCAAATCCGTGCCTGTGGTCCCAGGTGCTGAGATAAGGGCTCTGTGGGTCGACAAGGAGACAAATGGTCATTATAAGGTTGCATTTCTTTACCTTTCATAAGACAATTCCAACGAGTGGTGTGGAAGCGGGGGCTTCTCTCAATAGAGCTGGAGCTGCTGGAGCTGCTGGGCAGCGGTGTGAACTAGTCACACACACGACAAAAACACACAGTGTATCAAGTGATGGGATAAAGACCATATATAAATAAAGACCAACCAGCAGCCTCAGTGTGTGTGTGTGTGTGCTCTCACCTTATCTCCTCCACGTTTTTTGCTACATCAATACACATTGATGAAAGACGTCGCTCCCCCCATGAATCCCCGTTATCTTACATACAAAAATCCCGACCTATCATCTAACAGGGGGTTTTAAAAACAAAGGTCCGAAAAGCTGCAGTCAGTGTATTCGAATTATTTAATCAAAGACGACGTAAACATAAACACGTAAATAAATGGAGGTTTAAAAACACGGACACGTTCTATCTACAAGCAAACCCCGGGAGAAATGCCATCTAGAGCAGCACCAGGTCTGAGTCTCTTCCCACTGAGGAGCTGTGCTGCTCTGAAGCACAGCAGCCACGATCAACAGGAGAGAGGGGGGGGGGGGGGGGGGGGGAGAGAGATTCACACCATTTGTTGTGTGACTTCATCACGACCACGAGTGAAAAACCAGCCTCATTGTCCACAACAGAGTCGAACGTCATCATCTCTCTGACATCATCTCTACGGCACAGTTCTGTGGAGCACAGACGCTCGTGACAATGTTTTATTTAAGTCCATCCTCCGTGTGAGGGTCACTGTTTTATCTTTGTCTAACACTGAACTGTGTGGAGTTTTATTTTTGCAACCCTTAAAACCAACACCTTACGAATAGATATTACATTTATGATCTGCTTTCGGTCAAAGACAAAGCAGCAAACTGTGACCTGGTGCAAAGGATTCTTTTTTGAAAACCATCAGTGGAGAAGGGAAGAGTATATAGACAAATGTTGTTGTTTTATTCAATAAAAAAATAAAAGATTTTTCTTAATTCCTTTTAAAGCTTTGTGTCTTACCATTGTTATTCTCTCTGAAAGTTGTGTCATAAAAGAACTTAAGTTTGTAAAAAAAAATCTTCATGGTGGAAGTATTCATTCACTTAAGTATTCACCGAAGAAAAAACAGATGATGAAAATGTTGGAAAATTAGTCAATATTAGTGAGTATTGTTTTTGTTTTCACTAATAAACATTTTGTTATTTTATTATATTTCACATCTATTTGATTTCTTTGACTTTTTTTCACTGTGCATGGGTTTTTGTATAATCTTTGCCACGAAGAACATTTAGAGCCTAAACCTACAGACAGAACGACTGTGATTGTGTCTCAGTGTATCTGAACCTTACTGTGGAACTACAGTATGTTGTTCTGACAAAGGCAGTGTTGGTGTATTTTTGGATTTTGAAGTAATGTGAGGTTCTTACCTTCAAAGCCAGTTACTGGGTCTGCATCTTCATCCTTTTTTGGACTCAAATGATCCAATTCAAAAAATTCCAACTGCTTCCTTTGGAGATTTTGACGTAAAGTAATAAATATGAATTTTATCCCAGATCATTCACTGGTCCCGGTGTGGTTGAATCCTGGTCTGCAGACTGTGTGTCCGGTCTGCTGGTCTTACAGGTCAGTGAGCTGTCAGCGGCTGCAGAAGAGAAAGATCTGTTGGTTCAGGGTTACAGGATCTATATGGTTACTATTTTTAGAAGAAACCAGAGCCTTCAAACTTCCCTCACATGCTCCAATCTTCTTGAGCAGTTTAAGGCACCAAGTGCTCTGTTTTAAAGAGTGGCTCCGCAGGAAATGTCAAAACATTCACCCTTTTTTTTATCTGAAATCACGTGGTGTTTACTCCTGCCAAGGTGACCACTCAATCTAGAAATATTCCCAATAGATGTTTCCACTTCTTTACAGTTTTTCAGCTTCCTGAAATCATTTGAATTCAACTGTCCTCTTATATCCTGAGAACAGCTGTCAGGCTTCCCTGCAGGTTTGAACCAAACAGACTTTGAATGACTAGGCCTTGACCATTTACAGACAAGTAGGTGGAGAATATTAGACTTAGAAAAGTTGTGGTGTGTGTTTGGCTCATAAGTCCAAAACACACACACACAAAAGCCACTCACCTGTGTGTATGCAGTAACTCCTGTGTGGCTTCTGTCCTGGAGTTCCATGTAGGCCTCACATGGTGTGGGCAGGTAGAGATCATGTGACCCACAGAGTTAAACTTTCTTCCTGATTTCACAAACATTTGTTAGATAGAGGAGTGTGGCCCATAGGCTACACTGTTATAGGCTACACTGTTGTTGTTGTTGTTGTTGTTGTTGTTGTTGTTGTTGTTGTTGTTAGACTGTAGCCATACACTGACCATGAACTCTGAAGTAGATTTAAACTTCTTCCTGTTTGCTTTAGGCACCGCCCCTTTTGAACCCATGTGACTGGTCATGTGACTAGAAGCCTGACTTTGCTATGTGATAATGGCTGAGTTTAAGAAGAAGATCTGGTTAATGCCTTGACTAGGACAGATGGAGCTGCCCAGCACCAGACATGGTTCTGTTGGACAAACTGGTGTTGACACTGGCATGTTAGTGTGAAATGGAGGTTTTTATTTTAGTGTCTGTTCTACCTAGAAACCTAAAGCTCAGTGTTGGTCTACTATAGGAGTACTATAGTACTATATCATCCAATTCTATAATACTGGAGGTCAATCTTATAATACTGTACTTTATTTTCTGTTAAGGATTTGTGCCAAAAACCTCCATCATAAAAACCCATTCTCATGTCAAACATCAGACTTTACAGACCTGAGTGACTCTTTCTAATCCCTCTCTATTTGAACTGATTATCATTTTGTATTTTTTTTCGTCAGAACACTCTGCTTGGTCGCACAAAGTTTTATTAAGGTTTAATGAAATATTCATTCAAATGTTCCGCGGTGAGGCAGGTAATGATTTCATACTCATTCACCGACGTTCACAAAAAACATAATAACTCTCTGATGAAAAAAAGAAAAAACACTTTATTTGATGTTTTGAACACCGTTAGAGGAGTACATGCACATTGTCTCCCAAACTACTGCTACAGATTATTAATCACATCAATAATACACCATATGTTGTGCAACAAAGTAATAAAACTATAAGGACATTAAGATCATATTTCTGTTAGTTCAGCAGCTCTTGGCACAGGATTGGTTCAGGTGTTTCTGTTATGGCACAGCATGGACTGCTAACCAAAACACCATTAATAATGCAATGGTATGGATGCCTGGGTGGAAGTCTATCTATGGAGACTTCAATAAAGGAAATTGAAATGCTGGATTACTAATGGATTACTAACGCAGATACTTTCTGAGACTATTTCTCAGTTGTGTCTTCATTATTCACCTCCAAATACTGTTCTCCCCTTGCTTATATTTACATAGAACCAATCAGCTGCAGCAGCTGGAGGCCAGTTCTGTGGACAACGGTGTGAATTCATCACGGTGGTCAGATGAAAATCAATTTCCAATCTATGCACAACAGCCACTCGTCTCATCCGTCCACAGAGTGATTTACACTGAACGCCCACGTCCATGTAATGACAACAGCAACACTGGAGCAGGGCTGCTGATATGTGACTGTGCTGGACTGAAAATCACACGGACTAATATTTGTAGCGGAGCCACTCTGGGCTCACAGAGGAATCTGTGGCCAAATCATTCACTGAGACAAGCAGCGAGGGGTTGGAGGGTGATTAATGTAGCACTGTTGTGCCGGAGAGTATCGCTGTCTGCCTCGGCCTGTAGTGGTGAGCCCGACTCCAGCTCTGTGTGTGGCTGATAAGGCAATCAGAGCGCTCCTGTAACAGGGACCGTGACGATGGCCGATACGAGCCGGAGGTCGAGGGGCGTTGGTACAATTTGTCTGTGTCTGCTGTGATATGGATGAAATTTATCACAAATAATCATCTGGTTCACACAGAGATGATCCCATAAATCAATGGGACCACGACTTTGACCAGTCTCATGGTAAAGTTTCCAAGTGGTTGTAGTAAATGTTAACACCATTAGGGCGACAGGTCTCTGTATAGAAGTGAAATAACACTGACCCAGGAACAGTGTTAGAGGCTTAACCTTCGCCCAAAGACTCAGGTCTGTCCTGGTGGAGTTTTAACAAACAGGTCGAAGGTTGAAATCCATTTGAAATTAAAGAACGTTCTGTGTCAGGGAGTTAGAAGATGAATCAACTGTCAATCTTTACATTAATGTACAAAATAAATAGATAATGCTGCCGAGAAACTATGGATTTACTGCAACGAAAAAGTCAATAAAAATACAACGGTTGATTCAGTGACAGAAGCAAAAAAACTCTTGTTCAAAAACCAAAGTGTGGAGAACACTGTAGAGTTGGCAGTGAGAGGACACAGCTGTGTCTCCTCCTGGCTCCTGGAAATCCGAGACTGCTTCCAATCACATCACTCCCCTCAGCTGCCTCCACTACATATGCTAATGGTTTCCTGAGACTCCACAGCAGATTGTCAGCAAACAACAGCATCGACTACTTGGCTTTGTTTTCATGAGAGTATTTTTTTCCTGTTCATTTCCAAAGATAACTCACCAAATCCTTCCTGGCAGACTCGACTGAACTGAACCTGCTGCCTTTTTATGACTTTGAAACCAAGCCATTATTTTTCTGTTAAAATAAAAATACATTTTCTCCACCTCATGTCTCTTTTTTTTTGTCAAATATGGAGCAGGCCTCCTCTCAGCCCAGCTCTGTGTTGTTGTTTTTCAGTGTCGTATTTGTCAATGGTTTCAAACATAAAAGTGATGGATTCTTTCAGACAATACTGATTGGACTGTCGTACCTGCTCATTTATCTTCAAGCGTCAGGGAGTCGAAGCCCACTGACCTTAGAGGTCAGGACGGGGTCAGAGAATAATTTCAAAACGAGTGCGGTCTGGGTCAAAGGTTTAGGCACACGGTCATAATTCTGTCACATCAAACCTTTACATAACGGACATTTTTGCTCTGCAGATTACAGGAGTTTTTTTAATATCTGTAATGACAGCGAGCCAGGATGTAAAGTCTGGTCTGGGAATAAACGAGCTGTGAGAAACTGGAGCCTAGTTTTTCATCGTTGGTGAACGAAGGTCTGTGAGCTGCCAGTGCTGTCTTATCTACATCAGTGTCTCAGCTCTCTTTGTTCCATGAAACTCACAACAGCTCTGTTTTCTGGGTCACTAACGATGAAGTCAGGCCAACTCACATACATCTCCTCTTGCAGCAGCAGCAGTAGATTATTTCCTTCTAATTTGGATTCATTTATCTTTCGTGTTTACATTTGGAAAAAGGGGCTGAGAAACAAAAAACAGACAAAATGAATGCTTTTGGAGCTGTGATCTAATTAGACGTTACTGGGTCACTGTTCCATTTTCTGTTTACCTACTTTAATAACGGTGGATTTCATATCAGAGTCAGGAAGTATTGTTTTGCTGGGTTTTATTCAGTTATTTTCTTCCACTTCCACATATCATATTCAGGGTCACAGGAGTCATTCCCAGCAGTCACCAGGTGAGGGCAGGTTTGCACACCGTGGACAATTCACAGGTCTGTGGCAGGACCACGTGTGGACACATTGAAGAACAGTAATCGAACTATTGCTCCTTTATTTAAGTCAGTGTTGTACTTTTTCATTACAACAGTACATACACTTCATACACTGCACTACCATCACCATTTAAATGGTGGAAATAAGATTTTGCTGGTAAAAATGATAATAATGTTTATTTTTTCTTAAAGGTGAATAAAGTCATTATTTTTCTCTAATGACAAAAATGATCTTTTGTCCTTAATGTGACCAAAAAGCTAAAGTTCTGTGAACAATATCCCAGTTGTGGGCTTTAACTTGCCCCACCATCTGTCGTCTGACATGATGTTTGCCCCACAGCAGCAGTACAATCATTGTTAAATGATCTTTTCTTTACACTGGCTGAATTTCAGCTGAAAGGCCTCCAACAGTCTGGGCTGTGACTGTAGCGTTGGTTGGCCTGTGAATCCAAACACTGCCTCCGCATTCAGAAAATATCAAGTCATTTTCTAAATGTCAGGGACCATGGCTGGATACAGTGAGAAACACCAGGCTTTAAATGACAGAAATGTTCATTAACCAAGCGATTAATGTCAATGCCTTTGATGGGAGGAGGGGCTCTGAGTGGTCTTTAGATTCCACAGCCTTCAGCTGTTATTACTGGAACAAGCCCCCTGCTGTCAGGGTTTGGAAAACAGACAAACTATTTAAAAGAAGACCAAACAGGAGCTCAGTTTCTCTGTGGATATAAAACTTTGTGGAAACGTCAGCTCTACTTGAGCTGCAACTCTGATTCACATTGGCAGAAAAAAATGAATAAAGTTTTACCACAACAAAAAACACAGACAGCATGTCTGAAAATGACACCATGTCCCTGGTGGACAGCTGAGGTCTGGGCTGCTTCGTCTCCCTCTCAGCTCAGCACAAGCTGAAGAGGAAAATCAATAGCATTGAACAAGCATCAGAGTTGGTATTATTTGTGAGTCTTTGACTCCATTCCTCACTGCAGCGACTAATCCAATCAGAGCCGACACAGACTCCCCAGCTACAGGAAGCCATGGGTGAAGACGAGATGCAGACGTCAGAAGGAGCTTCATAAATCAATGAGCAGTCAGAGACACTTTTACGTCCGTCCGTTCACAAATTCACATTAACATTATCAAGTCATCAGCAGTGTATCACCAGAAGAAATGACTGTTGACATTTCCGTCTCCACCAAGGAGACTACACTGAGTCTAACCCACGGAGATACAGAGTCTGTTGGTGAAGACGTTTGGCAGATTCCCCAGAAAATCTATCAGTGAAGTAAAAAAAAAAAAGAAAAAAAGAAAGTTCCACCATAGACCACCTCAGCAGAATTATACATGGAAGAATAATGAGTGCAGTACAGCAGAATATTTTTGGGTTTTGCTGAAATTCCTGCAGTGGATTTTGCTGCATGAAATATGATGTTATTTAAAACCACCAAAAAAGAAAAAAACGCCAGTGTATTTGCCTGGGTTTGTCGTACATACTTAACTCTGATATCCATCCTGGCTTTAAACGATGCAGAGGCTTCTTTGTTGAGTAGAGAGTATTAATTACTCAAGTATGAATTATTCAGTCTCGGAATCGGTCAATAAAGTATAAATGCCTCCGGTCAATAGTTGCCAACACTTGAGAAGAGTTTGGACTCCCTCTGGGGGGATTTTAGAGCCACTCACGGGCTGCAACTTCTGTGCTCAACCACAAAACGACACCAGAGGTAATTCCTTCCCTGGCAGGCTGAATTAGGAGGAGCTTCACATCAGCTCCAGCCACTGCAGCATCATCTCAGAGTATTGATCCGAGACACTAAATAATGAAAATGAATGAGGAGATCAGATTCAAGGAAATAAAATGAAGTTTGCAAACAGAATATTGAAAATATCCTCACTTACCGAGGTCTACAGAGTGGCACTGGGGATCTTTAGGTAGGATGGACATTTAATTCACCAAAGAAAAAACACAGTGTCAGATTTAGCAACTCGAATATTTGTTTTCTTTTTTAATTAAGGATCATATATAGCAGATATGTTTTCTGTACAATTAGATTGAGCTAATTTAATATTTTACTATACTATATATATATATATAACACACGCATAAGACATTGAGTCAAACAATATAGTAAAACTATAAAACTTTTACTTCTAGGCTCTTGTTATGACGTGAATAACGGTTAAGGTGTTTGGCTGCCATCCAGTGGTATAATTCCAAAAGTGCATTTTGTAGCTACTTTATTTTTTATCACATAAACAAATTTCACTTGAACTCACTATGGAAATTTAAAATAGTTGAACTGTAACTGTGTTTGAATTGTAACTGACCGGACCAATAAGTATAGAACAGTAATCTCGACATACTGAGAACATGTAACATAACAACATGTTGAATGTTGAAGAATGTAGAATCTGAGATTTCCTCAAATCTATTTATTTAGTGGTGATTCACTTGTTTTCGTCACTCCTACTGTTCCGCTTCTTCAGACAGATGGGTTTTTCCCCCCTGAATAAACAAACTGTGTTCAAACAGTAAAGTTTGTACTTTGGAGTTAGCAGGTGTAGAGCCATCACTGCACTTTGAAAATGAAGCTAGTGTCTTTGAGTTTGTTGCTGTGCAGCTTCCATTTGGCTTCTCCAGGTATTTGAACTTTACTTTTTGAATAATCTCTTTCTTTAACCACAGATTAAGATCTCAGGTGTAGTTACAGCCTGTGCCACAGGGGGAGAGAGTGTAGCGTTTGTTGACGTTAAACTGAAGACTAAACAGAACAGAATGAGTCTAAATAAATGATTGGAATTGGATCTTAATTTTGTTTCCCTCCTCATGTTGCAGCTCCGGGCCCAGTGTTCCTCTCCGGCCGGGCGGCTGTCAGTCTGCTGAGGAGACAGAAACGTCACAACACGGGAGTGTTCGAAGAGCTCCTGCAGGGAAACCTGGAGAGAGAGTGTGTGGAGGAGGTTTGTGACCTTGAAGAGGCCAGAGAGACATTTGAGGACGATGAGCAGACGGTATGTGTTGGTTATAGGTGGATATGATGTCACCGAAGTTGGTTTATAAATATATTTACCTTTTATTCCCTGTTTTTATTGTTGTAGATGGAGTTCTGGGCTGGATATATCGGCATGGATACATTCTTCTTCTTCTTCTTCTTCTTATTATTATTATTATTATTATTATTTCATAAGCCAAACATGTTAGAAATGCAGTCTGTGAGCTGAACATCTGTGTGTGGACCTCCACAGATGGAAACCAGTGTAAGCCCAACCCCTGTCTGAACCAAGGCTCCTGTAAAGACAACCTGGGCTCCTTCACCTGCACCTGTCTCCACGGCTTCACTGGCATCAAATGTGAGATTGGTAAGTTCCTCTCCTCCGGCTGGATGTAAAATGGAATTACCCACGTCTGCTACATGATAAATGACAAATCTGTTGAGTGTATAAGATCAGCCAGACAAGGGACACTGACTAATTAAATCAGTGCCCTGTGTCCAGCTCTACTGTGGTTTTAGGTTCTGAAATCTGATTGGTCCTTTCAGAAACTGGATTTACCAGAATCCCACCCATACACTGAACAATCACTTCCAGCTCGTCCCTCTAACAGGGGAAGCCAAAGTGGTCGACTGTACAGTGACACACTAGATACCTTTCAAACCTGAAGCCCTCTAGTGGCTGAAAGCAGTACTGTCACTGCACCACTCCAGCCACCACTCAATCGCACAGACAGACTTTATATTATGGTTTTTGATTTGACAGACATTTTTTAACTCAGCAGACGTAAGCCATAAAGCATTATCTGCATAATTTATATATATGTACGTACCTGTCCTGGTCAGCCTTAGCAAAGAGGTGTGACGTGAACAACGGCGACTGTATGCACTTCTGTGAGACCATGGGGAACTCTGGAGCTGCATGTTCCTGCGCCACAGGATACAAGCTGCTGGACGACGGGAGCTGTAAACCAGAAGGTACTGCATCAGGTTTTTTTTTCTCTTCAAACTCTGTGCTAAACATTACAATAATAAAGTCTCATTCACTTAGAACGTGTCTTGTGTTACCAGGTGAATTTCCGGGTGGCAGCTGACAGAAGTGAGTGAAGGATTCAGGAGGTCTATGTTCAACAATGACAGCACAGGAGCTAACACGTCACTGAGCAACTTCACCTCCAGCACATCTCCTCCCTCCTCCACTCCTCCCGTCAACACCACTGCATCTGCTACGACCACAGCCCCTCCTGACCCAAGCCCGTCTCTGAACGACCTGTGGTCCTATAATGACACGGAGGAGACCATGGAGAAACCATTTCATCGCATCGTAGGGGGTGAGGCGGTGACAAGTGGGGAGATCCCATGGCAGGTAGAGTGTATGGAAATTGAAGCAGTGAATCGTGTCGAGGCCTCGTTACAAACAGGAACCTGAGCTGGAGTTGTTATTCACAGCTGCTCTTCTTCAGGTGGCCTTGATATTACGGTCCAGTGGTGAGTTGTTCTGTGGAGGCTCCATCCTCAGCCAGAGCTGGGTCATCACTGCTGCTCACTGTCTGGTGGAGATAGAGGAAGAGTTCATCGTCAGAATAGGTAAGAACAGGACTCACTGATTTCTTCTTCTGTGTTATAGAGAGTTTAGTGCCTCAGGATGGTAGAGTGGTTGATGTTGTTATCGACGGCAAGATGGTCATCGGTTCAATTCCTGGATGCTTTGTAACTGACAAACTTGTGTGTAATTAGTTTGGTGGGGGGGGGGGTGATTAGGTTAAATGGCCATATACTGTATATTTATATGGACATGGACCCCTCTCCTACTGTAGTTGAATAATGTAGCTCTGTATAGTTTATAAATATATAACGATGTATCCATAATTTAGATATCTATAGGTTATTATTCGTCCCACTAATATTCAAATAAGAATTTCATCAAAGATTCATGGAGTCAGTGTTTCAGATTCTTTTCCTCTCCATTTACTAACTAGTAACATGTAGATTCCCACTCTCCGCTGCAGGGGTTGAGAAGAGCGCAGGTGGAATTTTCCAATTTAAGGTTGAGTTTGCTGTTACAACACAAAGGCATAAATGTTGAGAGGAAAAAAGCCTGTAAATAAAAAGGATTATTCTGTAAAATTGTAACATTTTATTCAGTTTTATTTTGTCAGTAATGTGCCAGTATTGAACGTCTCTTCTTGCAGGTGAATACAACATCCTCATCCAAGAAGACACAGAGCAGGATTTTGAAGTGTTGGAGAAACACGTTAACCCACTCTACGACGCTGATGAAAGTTTGTACAACCACGACATCGCCCTGCTGCACCTCAAAACCCCCATCACGTTCTCCACCACTGTTCGTCCCATCTGCATCGGACCGCAGGCTTTTACTGAGGCCCTCATTACCACGTCCTCCCCGGCTACAGTCAGCGGCTGGGGTCGGATGCGCTACATGGGCGCTACGTCGAACACGCTGCAGAAGGTGGAGATCCCGGTGGTAGACCGGACAGACTGTACACACAGCAGCAGCACCAAGATCAGCCACTCCATGTTCTGTGCTGGATACAATAACGTGGCCAAAGACGCCTGTCAGGGGGACAGCGGTGGTCCGCATGCAAACCGCATCCATGACACGTGGTTCCTGACGGGCATTGTGAGCTGGGGGGAAGAGTGTGCAAAGGATGGCAAATATGGTGTGTACACACGGGTGTCTCTTTACTACAACTGGATAAACCAGGTCACGGGATTAGATAAGACAGGGTTGTAGCGCACGTAGAAGATCCTGAAATGGTGTTTAGATAAAGTATGACTGTATATTTTCTATTTTGGTATGCAACTCTACTTTGTTCATATTCATTTAATCATTTATATGAGTTCATGTTTATAAATCTGAAACTTAAATGTAAAACAATTATAAATTAAAATAATATGCAATATCTCTAAATCTAAATCAAAACTGCAAGTTACAAAATAAGTGGCGCTTTGGCCCAGAGGCAATGTCTCTGTCATTGGTGGAACCCCAGGGTTCACCTCCTGGGCAAGTTCGAATCCCGGTTAGGTGGACTCACCACCCGCAGGAAGGTTTGGTACGGTGCAGTGTGATTTGGGTGGCGACTGCTGCCCCCGCGACCCGGTAACGGATAAGCAGATGAAAATGGATGGATGGATGGATGGAAGTTACAAAATAATATCAATAGAATAAGAGAACAACGGAAGTTACAAAATAATATCAATAGAATTATGTAAGAGAACAACACCCCCCTCTGCTGGTAGAAAAACGAAACGGCGGGGAAAAGGGGACAATTAACCAGGACCTTACTGAACAGCAGCCCTTCAGTTTAGACAAACATGTAGATTTCCTTTTTAAAAATATTTTATTGACTAAAACAAAAATAATAATTATTGCAATAAACACCTCGTTTTTATTGGATCACTTCATACAGCAGTCAAGCTGAACCAAAGATCCCAGTTTTAAACAGCCTATTGTTAAGACACCATGCATTTTAACGCCAAGCTCGAGCAAAATCGTTTTCTTTCTTTTCCAACCTGGAACTGTGCAAAACCTGCAGCATTCGTATTAACGTCCAAGAAAATCTGAACTTTCCCAACAGCCAAATCAAAACAAAAGCATGCTTTTTCTGGAGTCGGGCAGCACTTTTGTAAATGTATGGAAACACTGACTTCACCATATGAAGGAATCACATGACAGAGAAATAAATAAATGAACACGTCGGAAAAGTGGGAGAGGAAGCTGCCCCTGCTGCTACTCTCCTCACTCATTTCCATATCAAACACAGCTTATCAAAAGCAGCCATCCAACGGGGGCCGTGATTCGATGTGGCAAATTTATATAAGTCTGCAATCAATATTTAATTAAGTGTTAACGCAGCGGCTGTGAATCACGTTGGCTCCGTGATCCCTTTTACTGTGGAAACCCAAGATTAATGGAGCTGTAACGGTGTTGAGGAAACAATCTGACTTAGTGATGAAGGTGGAATCACAGAGCACCATCATCATCATCATCTCTCTTTCTTTCTATCTCTCACTGTTTCTCTTAATCTGACTCCCCCTCTTCCTCTCCGTGCTCTGACCGACACTCAAATCCAGAAAGATCCCATTGGGAATGATGCGGTTTGGTTCACGGCAGCGTAGCCAGGAATGCTTTACACTTGCTTTTCATCATATCCTCCTGTGTCCTACATTACCATCACTGACATGTCTGTGTGCAGGGGGGGGGGCTGCCCCCCCCCTTTAACACATGATTCAAGAGCAAACAGGGGAAGTGACATCATGAACCACATCGTAGCACGTAGTAATAATACAGTAGGAGGCGTGAAGCAGCGACCGAAACAAAACCAGGAAGTTGGTACACTCTCTAAAAATAAAAATTTGTACTTTGGTAATAAAGTTAAATATTAATCCATCAGTAAAAAGTTGACACACATTTGTTCCCATCATGTAAACACACTTTCCCAAGAACCACGTGGCCTGTGGCTTTGTAAACATCAGGTCTGTGTGTTCACCTGTCCGGCCTGCAGTCCAGGTTCCTCTGCTACTGAAAGGTTCGAGTGCATTATGAAGAGGGGGAATCAAACTAGAGTCTTCTGTTATTTGATCACGTGGTAGTCTACAGTTCCCATATTATATATCCCATATAAGTATTAAAGAAGGGGTTTGACCTCTGGGTCTGTCACAGCTTTTCAGTGTGTTGCAGGTCATTTCCAAATTAATTTTCTGTTTAAAGGCCTTTTTTTTTTACCAAAGGAGAAATGTTTAGATCTATAACAAAGATACATTTCTTTAGCAAGTGTACCAACTTAACATGTTTACATATATAAGACCAGAAAAACAAAACAAAGTGGCTGTGTGTTCCTATATTTTCTTCCTCTTATATTAAAGTGCATCTTAATAATAATTATTAGTTCAAGTAAAAGCAACACGATCTGACTAGCTAACAGTATATACAAAGCAGGAAATGAAAGGCATTATGGTATGGCACATTTTGGTGTTTTTGACTTTCTGTAACTTTAGAAAAACACAGTGAGGCTGAGTTCGAATGAAAAATATCAACTAACCAACTACAAGATGAAACGCTGACGTACAGTACAATAAGTGCTGTAAAATGACCATGGTTCTGTAGAAAAGTCTCTGTTTGAAATGTTTCAGGCCAAGTCCTCGGAGAGCATCAGTCCAGCAGTGACACAAATGAACACATTCAGGTAGAGAAACTTCAAGTTTAGGTTTGTAAAAGAGGTTGGAGAAAAAAATCCACAGTTTGGAAAAGGAGCCACTGTCGCAGCAGCAGCAGACTCACATTCAGAAAATGGATCTGGATGAAACAGGAGGAACTCTACGAATCCAAAGAGGAGAACGGACTCGTGTGACGACCCCACCCCACACCTCCACAAATGTCAGAGAGCGGACCAATGAGATCGTCGACCAAGTCTTATGTACACGCCTAGACATTCCTACTTCAGGTCAACTCTGCAGCACAAACGGGGGTGTGTGTGTGTGTGTGTGTGTGTGTGTAGACGATAGTGCATCACTAACATATCAGGTATGGCTCAGTCTCATCCTCCTGTGTCTGCAGGAAATATTTTATTCACATTCTGTGCTTTTCCTTCTCTACGGGGAACTGAGTTTCCTCACCTTCAGGTTTCCTGGATCTACAAGGGGAAAAAAACATTTAAAAAATAATGTAGCTCGTTAGTTTAGGAGTTTGTTCGTGTTGAGTTTATTTTTTTTTACCCCCCAGTCTGGAGAAGTGTCTTCGGCTACTGTGACCAACAATCAGCCGCAGGCTGGCAGCTGCGACGAAGCCCTCCTGTCGTCGACTCAGGTTTTTCACAAGCCTTGAAAAAATGGGAGTTAGAAAGAGATTTAGACTAGCAGAGAAAAATGAGACAAATGTTTCCTTACATTAAATGAAAGCAGAATAGAAAAACAAATCTGCATTTGTATTAGAGGACTCCATATATATATATGCTTTATATATATATAAATATTTTTTATTTTTTATTTTTTTAAACCTCACCAGCGTCCCTTCTCTTCATACTGCAGCTGAATGTTGTCTCCACATTTGATTGTGATGCTGTCTGGTCCGTTTTGAAGACTGTCAGCCAAAGCCCTGTATCTGCCTGGAGACTAGGGGAGAGGCCAACACTTTTATTTATCCCTGATCTAAGGATGATAAAGAATGGAACAATAGAAACAGATAAAGTAGACGCCAACATTTGAGATCATCTATTTTTCAGTCTCACCATTGCCAGTAAAACGCCATCATCTGTGTCAGAAGGGTTAAAAACATCTGGACCTCCAGACCACTCCTCCAGACCCTCACAGTTTCCTCTTGATTGATTGGCTCCAGGCCAACCTGCAACAGTGACATCACTTTTCACAATTGAAGGGTTTTTTCATCATCACAGTTTTTAATCACGTTGTACTCACTCCTGCGGTTGTGCTGGTGTTTAGGGGAGTGAGGCTGGGGGTCTGGACTGCTCCTCCCTGACTCTGTCTCTTCTGAGCTCACTGACGCCCTTTGCTGTTTGCTGGGTGAACAGCACCATACAACAGATGAGTACAAATATTGTAGCAGAAGACATTCAGGATAGATGGTTATCCTTAGGCAAGCAATCCAGGGACAGCTAACACTTCCTAAATCTGATACATATCAATAAGCAAACACACAGTGTAGCTGACTCCAGATCAGTGCCAAGGACCAACTCTGTCCTGTTGTCTCCCACACAGTCATGACCACTCAGGCATCAGCAGACAGCAGAGAGAACACAGAGCAGCCATGTGCAAGCTCCTCTGTAAAGAGTGGGAATCATGGAGTGACAAAGCACTCACTGGAAAAGGGAGTCAGCATGTATCAACACAACAGAAGATCTGGCCTCCATTTATCAAGATCCATAGTTTTGAGGGATTGTTTTTTTTTTTCAAACAATCAAATACTGCAAACGGTTGACGACTAGATCTCAAGAAATGAGCCCCATCTTAAAAAGCATCTGTCATGAAGAAATAAATTAAAATTGAATGAAATGAAGCCCAAACTTCTCTTTTTGTTTGCCCTTTGCATTGACATGCAAAATAGCAAATATCTCAGAAGCAGAACTCAGGGTGTTGGTTTTTACTATGTCAGAGACAACATGGGAAAAAGCCACTGAGAAACAGGCCTGTCAGCATGTCAAAGGGAGTCAGTAATGAACCAGAATGCATGTTGCATGTCAGGATCAGTATGCAGACACAGGCCCTGGAGTTTGTTTTTTTTTTGTTTTTTTTTTGGACCCCAAGGCAGGGCAGGTGGGTCATGCCAGGGCGAAGTGAGCCAGGCAAAGATTACCACTGCGTGTTAGGGCAGGTTATTGAGTGTGAGGATCAGTGTGCAGGCACAGGCCCTGGAGTTTGTTTTTTTTTTTTTGTTTTTTTTTTTGGACCCCAAGGCAGGGCAGGTGGGTCATGCCAGGGCGAAGTGAGCCAGGCAAAGATTACCACTGCGTGTTAGGGCAGGTCAGTGGCGCTGGGGGCGATGACGGGGACGCGGCCGGGGCCGTTGCCGGGGACTTCTGGGGCGAGGGCTCCGGGAGCGAAGGCACAGAAACACATCAGCCGACAGAGAGACAAAGTCCAACCCCGGCAGACAGCCCCTGAGGACCCCTCTGGACGGCCGCATGCCCCTGCAGTTGGGGTGGATGGCAGGAGTGGGGATATGCAACCAGACCTCACAGACCACCACACCCACACAGAGCTTCTACCAACCATACAACGTCTTTACCACAGCAATGGCAAATCATTTATTAGTGTCACCGAAGCTGTGACCAAACAGATAAACTCAGCAAAGTTTAGCAGTGCTTTAAAACCACAGATATGTTCTGCACACGTCCGTCCCTGTCAGACTAAAGTCTAAGTCATGTTCCATACTTCACAGACACTGACCTCTCAGGGATCGGTGGGGAAAGCTGCATATGTTCAACCATTTGACCATGTTGATACGCTTCATCTACAGGAAGAGAACAAAGGTTTACAGTGGTTAGAGTATAAATAAGATTCTCCTAATGACAATATTTCAAATGTTACAACATCCAGAAATGTATTTTTTAGAATCATAAAAATAATCCAATTAGCATTGACCATTGTTCTTTCTTTCATTTTTCCTTTTCTTATGTTAGTGTTAAGGAAGCCTGAAATAGTTACTAGAAAAATAGAGCCACTAGGTGGCAGTGAGGCAGCCAGAGACAAAGAAATTGAGAAAGGGGGCTGAAGAACAGCATTAGCTTAGCTGAGCCGCAGACGTTTGTAAATAATAATAATTAAAAAAATGCCACATGTGTCACGCAAGCCACTATTTGAATAGATCAGGTCAAGGTCTTTAACGCTGCATTTTTAGAAGGAGAAAGACTTTTCTATCAGTCATGTGACTTTATTTTTTTATCCTATTAAAAGCAACATGTCATGACACACAGGATTCAGAGCTAATGTCCTGAGGAGTTTCCGGTTCAAACGTCAGCTTCACAGATCCTGCTTCTTTTACGAACCTCTGAGCAGCTTCTGTTGGTTAGTCAGGATTCTGCGCAGCTCATTGAGCCAGGCCATCTTCACTTCCACGGTGGGAGCCTGGGAGACAGCAGGAGATGTTGCAACAGTCCGCACAAGACTTTCACATCATTACAACATCCTGTAGGTAGAACTTTGTAGCCACAGCATTAACACAGCTGTAGTTCGATGCCGTACTTACTGATACGGAGGACGAATCAGGAGGTGGCGCTCAGAGCCGTCTCTACTAAAGGCAATCGTATGAAAGTTTTTCTGGATTTTTTTTTTTACCTTACCTGAACTATATACACCTCCTCTCTGCCACTGTACCAGATCTCAAACTTCTTCACATCTCCTTTGACATTCTCTGTGATTCCCACAGCAGTCATCTGTCAGGAGACACACACACACACCGTTAACACCGACACACGGAGACAGTGAGAAGAGCAGGTTATACATCAGACTTACATCATGTCTCACATCTGTCCTGTCAGAACACTTACATTCAGACAAATCTCTGATGTACAACTGCTTCCTCACCACATCCTCAATAATGAATCAAAAACAGAAGCCGCTGCTGCTGATACCAGTGGTGTTCCACTGCTCACATCAGCTCACATCAACTAGGTGGTGTTTTAACACCACACAAACTACGCAGTAGCAGAAACTCAGGGAGTACAAAGAAGTACGTGTGTGGAATTCTAACACGTACTTGGAAACAAATACAAGCAGAGAGACAGGACTGTTAGAGACGGTTGTTGTTAAACCTGATACTGTCAGACAAGACAGAGAGAGACAAAAATATTCAAATTATCATTTGGGATTAGTACTATTCATTTTTCTTTAATTCAGTAACATGTTCTGATCTGAGAACTAGTGTTTGTAGGAGACAATAAAATATAATATTATATATAATAAAATATAAATAACTATTTTATAGTTATTAATTATATCATTTAATCAATAATTTAATAATTTATATAGAACATATTTCCATAAAGATCATGGGTAAACATGAGTAGTGGACAAAGTATGATGTTGATTCCAGACCCAGCAATAAAATATAGTGAACAATATTATACTGTATCCAAAAAAACAAAGATTTTACCAATGACACCTCGAATGACTGTGTTCTTCATCATCATCACTACATGGTGTGTCATGTATGTGTGGTTCACACCTCTGAGACACACAGGTTAAACACAGGGACCGACCTTCAGACAGTGCTTGAAGCTGTAGGATGGGGTTTTGTCACAGCCGTCTCCGTGCTCCTCCCTCCGTTTGCAGAACAGAAGAGCTCGCTCATAAAGGAAGAGGTGTCTCTGCATGGGTTTGAATCGAGCCAGCTCCTTCATACGTGTGGGGCCTTTCTTATGGCTGATCCACACACTGAAGGAGCCCTGCATCAGCACATGGCCCAGCTCACAGAGGTCTCCCTGCAGAGAATCACACATTCTGTTAAAGTGCATTTATTTACTACGCTGCAGACACACGCCGCTAATTCACCTCATATCCTGTGATGGAGATCTGATGCATGGAATCATTGACAGATTTGAGCAGGTCCAGCATGGCTGTTAGCGCCTCCTGCAGTTCAGAGGTTCCCTCGGAGTCGGTACTGTATTTGAGCAGCTCCTGAGTGCAGACACAAAACAACAGCAAAGATAGTAAATACGTCTACTTGAATATCTATAGTCAGTAAAACAGCACACTCTTGTGGCAGGAAGTTGTAGTGTATATTAACGGTAAAATATCTTGAGTGCAGAGATTTACAGACCAGAATCCTTTGCTCTTCAGCACATCGAGTAACTGCATTAACACGTCTTTATTAATGTGATAGTTTTTACATTGTTGAGGAAAGGCTAATAGAAATAAAGGAAAATTCAAATTTTAATCAGAAGTTGTAAACACCTGTTTAAAAAAGCACCAAAAAAAATCCAATAAAAAAAAAAACCTAAAACTTAGACCAAGATTATCATGAATTACCTTTAACAGCAGCTGGTATTTCGTGAGGCGTTGGACTGGTTTCAGCAGGTATGAATCCAGACCCAGTTTGTGCTCCAGCTTTTTTTGACATTCCTTCAGAAGAAAGACAAGAAAGCTTAAAAAAACCAGTGACAGAGGTGAATAAACAAAAAGGTTTTGTTTGTTGACTGTGATTTATTTTTGGGTTTGAGTCAGTTTTGGACATGACATGTTAAAAATAGAACATAACAAATTAAAAATATATAAATGGTGGTGAAATGGAGGCAGGGCTGACCTGAAAGAAGGCACAGTCAGAGAACTGTCTCCACAGAGCATCAGAGCGTGGTTTATTCTGACAGTAGCATTCGTACATTTGAAAACTCTCTTTCTGGGGGAGATATAAAAAGAGACACACGTTCAGAGAGAGACATTCACTTAACATACTGTATATTTAATGTTAGCTCCCAGTGTACACAGTCTGCAGTATATGTTTCTTCTCACCCGCTTTAGGAAATAAGCTCCCACACCTTCAGGGGCCTCCAGGCATCCTTCCAGGTCCTGGAGGAAGATCCTGGATTTCAGGAAAAAACATGACTTGAATATGACATCAACTTCAGTGCTGACAGCTGTTCAACACAAGAGTCATTTTTCCACTAGAAGCTGATCAACATCTTATTAACTTTGACTCTGTGTCCATTTTTTATAAATAATCTATGGTTCGAACACATCAACGATAAATTCAATGTCTTCCATGAATCACTTGCCTACTGTGAAAATTGTAAATCTCGGGCAAGTTTCCAAAGAGAACGTCTCGCTTGCTGTGCAGGATTGGGGTCAGAAGCCCTGAAAGTTCTGGATTGTCCATCTCTGCCCGGTAACCCTGGAGCAGAAATAATTGAACAAAGGGAATCGTGCTCTGAGTCTCAACACACGGCAAAGATTACAGACTTTATTTGATGTTTTGGGGTTTTCTTTACCAGTAGCACTGACAGCAGCTCTTCAACGTAGATTCTCTCAGTCTCTATGAGTTCCCTCATCACATGACTGTGACACACACACACACACACACACACACACACACAGGAGCCAGAGGGTATCATTAGCTCAAACAAACAAAGAGAATCCCAGAGTAAACAACATCAAGAGGAGCTCCGAGCACCAACTCAAACCTCCTCTTGTCTTCCTCACCGCTTCAGAAGATCTGGACTGTCGTCTCCCTCCAGACTGTAGGAGACGCAGCCGGGACTCTCCTGGTAGTCATGGATCACCTCTATCTGAATACATTTTTACATTGCATTAACATTATAGTTTAAAAAATACTGTGAACGTTAAATGAATGCATATCTTTGACTATTTTTCTTACTTTTCTTGTGTGGGGGGTCTTACGTGATGATCTCTTCCCAGGTAACGAGAGGTCAAAGGTGAACTTCAAACCATCAGCTGTGACAAACAAGGCAGCAGTTTATTAAGGAGCTTATTATAATTATATTCTTCGGAGTTGCTGCTCAAATATTTCTCTATGCATATAAACCAGGACAACTATGGGGCAATGGGGGACAAGTAAGACACTCACCCTGAAAAAGGTTTTACAACCTCTGCTTTTAGATCAATTGAAATGATTAAGTCTTAAAAAACACTATGAAACAGATCTAACGCAGCGTTTGGCACCACATATTTCCTTCTTTTTTTCTCCAGTTCTTCTGATTCCTTCTGATACCTTAGATGGCGAGCAGTATTTGGGCCCCCCCCCCCCCCCCCGTACCATGTTAAACATGCACATATATGTGTGTATGCCTGTGTAAAATTAATCAAAGCTCAGCCCAGTTTCCTTCATCTCCTGTGCTCAGAAGCTGCTGTTCCCAGTACAAAGAACCCTCACAGGGCATCAGCATCACACTCACGCTGATTGTGAGGCTCTCATTAATAAGAACAAAGCCTTAAAGACATGAATGGACATCCAAGACACGCCTGTTAATTTTGTTTTCACTTTCATACACTCACTGGACACAGACGTGTGCACTCGCAGCACAAACAATCAAACAGAAATCGTCAAATTAAACATACAGTATTAATAGGGTTCTGCTGTGTTCTGCTGCTTTTGTGTGAAACCCCACGAGACGCGAAGAAGATGAAACATTCTTTAATGTGATATGAAACACATATAACACGGCATCTACTGTATGTGGACTGTTAGAACAGCGCTGTCGTTCCCAGTGGACTGATTATATGTATGACTACCTTGTTTGTAGCCCAGTGGCCTGCTGACCAGCCCGGCCCAGCCCAGTCAGCATCACCTTAGGCCCATTCACTGGGAACCTGTGATGTGCTAATTTTAGCATGGAAAGATGCAAGGAGTGCAGGCACTGCTGCTGGGCCCTGCAATAGCATGGAAAGATGCAAGGAGTGCAGGGACTGCTGCTGGGCCCGGGACCCCATACAGGGTATGGATGAGAGGAAGGGTGACTCCAGCCTAGGTTCATTTGTTACAAGTCAACTGTGTGTTGTTTAGGCTAAATAAAAAGCCTGGAGGAGAATGATGCTGGTGCAAAACCAACATTTATGACGCATTAATGATCTGACGAGTCACTACGATTGAGGTTCACTCTACTGTACTGTACTGTTTTGTACTGCACTGTACTGTATTGTACATTACAAAAATATAGTGATTGAGATAATTTGATGAACTGAAACAATTCAGAATCTGCTTAATAGCATCTGTGGTTTAATACTCGGGATGCGGATTGTAAATGGTTTGACACTAATCTGTTCTGGTCAGAGTGAGGCCATGTTAAACATGTGTGAGGGCTGTACAGAGAAGGAAGAGTCAGTGAGTCTTGTATTTGTATTAGCTACAATGATACAGTTACTGAGGACCTACAGCAGGGCATGAGTTGTGTGTGTCAGGAAACAGTGTGCAGGTGTACTGTACCATGTTTGGGGGAGAAGAGAGGGGACTTGGAGTGTGGTGGGTTTTCTGGTCTGGGGGTCACCAGCTGGATGGGTCTCACATGTTTATCAGCCAGTTTCCTCAGGGAAGTCTGTCGGTTCTCAATCATCTGATGCACCGCTGCATATTTCTCAAAGGTTTTACCAATCTGAGCCTAACACAGAGAGAACACAGAGAAAAGAGCTGAGTTTGAACACAGAGACAGGTGAGTTACTGCTGATTTCTGGGTAAGAGTTCGACAACCTCAGACCTCACCTGCAGATTAGGTGTGACCACAGCCTCATATTCAATCTTCAAGATGTCAGCCCCTGTGCTCAGGATGGATGGCGCCCCCCCCAGGAACTGTTCAATGTCTTTTAATGCAGCCTGGGCCCCCAGCCTAGACTGACAGTTTTCTACCAGCTGATTGGCCAGCAGGTAGGCTGCATCATCACACCACGTTTGAGCCTAAAGAGAAGATGTAGAGAGAACATCTGAGTGTACGCATCAAATGTTTTAGAGTCTTGATGTGTGAGTGTGTGTGGAGGAACTAACCTGACCAAGGGAGATGAGCAGCTGGTGTGTGTGCTTAAGATGAGTGTGTTTGGACCTCAGAGCAGCATTGAGTGTATCACAGTGATGGCGAAGCTCGTTGCAGCGCTGCATGATGAGAGCCACGGCAAAGTGGTGATTGGCCGACAGCTGGTGTCCATGGAGGATGATGATTTGAGCCCGGGACACCACCTCCTGATGAAGAAGACGGATGGTTTCAGCACAGGTATATAATATACAATATAATAGAATAGAATAGAATAGAATACAATAGAATAGAATAGAATAGAAATAGAAATAATGTTCAGTAAAATGCTAGAGTTTTATAAATATTAAATTACAAGTTCAGTCAAATAATGTTTGATATTTTGGCAGCTCAAACTAAACAAAAAAAATAAAACAGTTCCATTGAATAAAATACCTATTACTTAATTAGTTACAACTGAAATAAAGACAACGACTGAGACTAAGAATCAAAGCAAACACTGGTGTAAACTGACCTGTGCGTTAGACTCGAGCGTGTTCAGCTTTTTAAGAGCCTGTTCAGTCTGAGCCAGAGTTTCTACAGCCACAGAGAACTCTCTCTCCTGAGCTGTCAGATGTCCCAGACACAACTCCATCTGAACAAGAAACAACCAAAAACAAATGAGTTTGTAATTGCACATGCAGTACATCCTACTGTGACATCGTTCCACCGTGTGTCAGGGTTTTTACAGCTGGTTTGAACACAGGTTTTCACACATGTAAAATATGTCTTGTCTTTTCTTCAGTCCACATTCTTTGTAGTCCAGACAATAAGGACGTTCTATACGTGCTGCTGCCTCCTCCACATTCTTCTGCCTCGTCTCGGTTCTTTACAGCTCGTTGCTTGCATAACCAGCTTTCTTCTCACACTGTCTTTACTGTGTGAACTGTTCTATCTGTGTCACAGCATTCAGTACGCTACAGGATACTGCAGTATTGGTACGCTTTAATCTAGAAGGGCATGCCAGGAAAACTCAAGTTATATTTCTCTCTTTTAACAAGCTCAATAGCTGTTCCATTATGTATGCATTATAAAAACACTCTTACAGCGCCCCCTGTTTTTGACATAACTTATAAATACCGTGCACCTAACCAACCGTTTTGTTTTTTCTAAGAATGTAGTACACCAGTTGTCGATGACCAAACTTATCGTAAATAAAATAAAATAAAAAATTACATGAATGTCAGGAATTTACCTCCTGAAAACTTTGCTCGTATTTCAGTAGCTGCAGGTACTGGTGAAGCTTCAGATGATGCTTCTCAAAGAAACCATCAAATGCTGACTCCATGTCTCTGAGCTGAGCGAGAAGTCTACAAAGAAGCATTACAGGTTCAGACTTTTTCATTTAGCTATAAATAAACAAACCTGTTGTGGTTTAAATCCAAGAGAATTTTTTATCAAAGTCTGCCTGGAGATGCCTGACCTCTGCACTGTCTCCCAGTCCAGCTTCACGTCCCAGTGGCAGTCGTCCTCTTTCTCTGAAGTCTCCAGGCTGGAGAGAAGACGATGACCTTCTTTTGAAACTGACCTGATTGCTTCCTGTCAAGAACGATACATTTTCTAAACTGATGGTTTTTGTCTTCTAACCCTGACAGGAAGTAAATATGTGAATTAGTGAAACCTTACTTTGAGTTTCCTGTACTTTGCAGTTTGGTTTTCCAGAAGATACTCTATGGCTTTCCCTTTGTCAGGCACCTCTGTCTCTGCCAGCTCCGTGCCAAAACCCTGAAGCATCTGTGCAATGTCTTTGACTGTGACAGCAAAACTTTCGATAGCCTGGAGGAAGCAGAAACCACGGTGTGAATCTGTTCATTTATTACAGATGTCAAAGCCTGAAATAATTTGTGAAATTAGTGAGATTAAAATTGTTAACCCCTGTAACCCATATGCAGAATGGTACACACTGTACTGTACATCCAATAATTCCACCGCCCATCCATTAGTTTTGCTCTGACACACAGTTGATATACAACTTATTTATACACACTGTAGAAAAAAGTTCTTGTTTCATTTAAGTATCTCAGACTTAAAATACCTATAATATCCTCATGTGGCTTAGTCGTTAAGTAGACACCAAGATTAATGATCAATCATGATTGATCCACAGCTGCCCTTTGATTTGACAGACCTGGAAATCATACTATAAAGTAATATCAGCTCAGGTTCATGAATGTGAAAATATTGTGAGCTGTCATTTTACTGTATGGTATCAGGTGGAGTCATTTTGATCCAGAGATCATTCTGTGACCAATCTGTTTCAGAACTGATGATGTTCCAGTACCGTTCTCAGAACTATCCAGTCACTGTGACAATAGTCCAAAGTTCCTCCAAACTCTGACGTCAGCTGGTTCTCACTGATGTAGTGCAGCAGGTCTGTGACTGAGCTCAGCATCACCACCTTCAGACAAACAGGAGATGCAATATTTATCTAGATATTTTTATTTGTTGTTTGTCTTGATTTGAGCACCTATTTTAAAAAGATCAAGAATATGTTGAAATAAAAACACACAAGAAACATATTTTATATTCCATATTTGGTAACACAGGGAACTTACTGGCATTTTTAGCATGAAGTCATCCTGGCTGAAGCGAAAGCCGATGTCAGTGACCGTTCGATGAAAGAAGCTGGTCGGACGCAGCACCAGGACCAGGTGTAAGTTCCCAGGAAAGGAAGCCTGAAGGAGGAAGGACACGATTCTCACATTAGGAGACACTAGAGCGATGACATTCATGGACAGTGTGATGTGCACCGTGTCCATTCATGTACACTTTTAAACATGAGCCTCAGAAGAAGCATCAACCAGATTGAAGTCCTCTACATCAGCCAGAATGTTACAGTGTACATTAGTGTCAGACTAATGGATCCAAGGTCTGGTCTCTACAACATTTATGTACATCATAAACTGCAGGTCAGGGAAGGACATGACTGTAAAGTTAGTCGTGTCCTCATCAGTACATTACAGCAGCATACTGAGGTGTGAGTACATTATATTTGGAAATATAGGGATGAACATCCACCACAGAAAATGCTGAAATAGATAAAAAGAAAAACTGTATTAAAAATTTCCATTTCTAACGCAGTCCTAATGCAGATACAACGTCTCCTCCTGATACCAACTCCCCTTTAACACGTGGAGAATCCTTTGACATTCATTTGCCCTGACTTCACTGCAGTGGCAGACTCACGCCACAGGGTCTTGTTTTGAAATAAACATGCCCTAACTCCTCCCGCCTCCCATGCACAGAGACATGATCTGGTTTCATTCATCTTTTTATGCACAGACATTGTCATGACTAAGCAGCAGACGAGCGCCGTGCACCGCAGTGCTACACTGGGCTCAGCAGCAGACACTGCCGCATTAACCCTGCCCACCGGTCGAAGAAACTTCAGCCAAACTCCTCACACGCTTCATTTAAACCATCATGAACTAAGTTACCGGGTTCCGCCGGATCTTTGGGATTTCCGGCCGGTAAAAGCAGTCAGCCATGGTGCTGGAGGTCATCGCGAGTAAATGCTAGGTTCACGGCTGTCCGGAAAAAAAGAAAAAAGAAAAAAAGATGCAGAATCCCTCAGGTACGCAGCTCCCTCCTGCGGCTGCCTGAGCTCTGACGCTGCTACTCCGACAGAGGGTGGCAGGAGTTGACTGCAATGTTTCTGTCTACACCACCTTTTTCTTCTCCCTCTCCTCCTCCTCCTCCTCCCCCAACTCTCTCACCAATCCCACGCGTCATCGCACAGTTTTTGCTTACTCATTCACCTAAAGCAATGAGTAGTTCAGCACTGAACCACCCAACCCTCGGGAGTATAGTCTGTAAATACACAATAACAACAACAACAATAATAATAATAATAATAATAATTTCTGTAAAACCGATCGAGCTGACGCTGTGATTCAGTACCTTGGACAGCAACTAAACTTAATCAGCATCTCCGTCACAGCGGATGGCGATGGATTAAGATGGTTAAAATGGAGGCGGGAACTCACTGCTATTCTGGCGAGTGCTGTTTTGATTGATGCCCATGTGTCCAGTCGTCGGTCTAAGATGATGATAAACTTGACTCCAGGTTGCCTTGCACTGCACGGGAAATTACAAACATTGAGGTTATGCTGGTTTTTAGTCATTATTGGTACATGACAATTGATCAGTTCGATTTAGAGTTCCTGACAATAATGTTTACCGATGATATCACTAATGTACATCGTCAGTTTAGTTCAGTAACTTATCTAAAATGATTCGTTTAGCTTACTGAACCATGTCCTTACAGGCAGAAGGGCAAGTCAAATACCCACGGCTCTTATTAAAGAATTAGAGTATAAAATAAATTTTTAAAAAAATTAATTAAATGTATACATGTAAACTCCTTAGCTAATAACATGGTGATATATTTAGAGATCACAGAAGTTTGTTGTCATTCTGAAAGAGGAATATGTCTCCAGTCTTGTTCAAAATGTTTTGAGCATCTAAAATAATTAAAAAGACTTGAGAAACAATGAATTTACTCGTGTCTTGGCAGAGTGAGGTTTAAAAAAACAGAAGAGGACATCAGAAGGACATTTGACTGAGTCCTCTCAGGTGCAGTGAAGACAGGGCTGTGATCAGAATGCTAGTTATTTTGGTGCACTGCAGAGAAAGAGGAGGGAGAGGGGGAAGGCAGCAGGACACACCGAGGGATGAGGGTGAGGTACGTGAAGACTTTGGCTAAAGCTTCCTCTGGAATGTCACTGAAGGCTGAGCACTCAGGGAGGGTGATGATAACGCTGGAGTCTTTCCCACGGCCCCCTGGGAACAAGAGGCATGGAGTGAGAATCAAAGAGGGGGACCTGAACTGACGTGGAAGAGACAGAATCAACTGGGAGGTTAAAGAGGACGGTCTCACCTGACAGATAGGCCACCTGTTTCTCAATGTAGCCTCCCACCTCCTTCAGGCTCACAGGGACAGCGACCTCTAGAGGAAGATCAACATTTTTTTAAGGCTTAGAAGCAGCACAATCATTGCAGTGCTTCTTAAATGGTGGGTCGTGACCCAGAGGTGGACCAAGCAACAGATTTACTGTTGACATAATGATTCTTAGTTCAAAACGGAAATCCCAATTTGACTGAGCACAACAGTCAAATAGGGATAAAAGGATCAAGTACATATTTTTATATATTGAAGTTTTAATATCCTTTCATTTTATTTGCATTCTCCCTTTTGTCCAGTCTCTCTGTGTGTGACAAATGTTAATGTGTTTGTTTCTTTGTCTCAGTGATATTATTTTCCACTGCGGTTTTAGTCCTTCCTACATTGACAGAGCGTTAGCACTGAGCTCCACTGACACCTGCTGAATATTTGATGTGTGTCTGTAACAGAAAGAACCTGAACCCAGTGTGGACACACAAACTGTGTGTGAGCTGGATCAGTTACTGTCACACTGCTGGGATTATGTAACCATTAAAACACAGCCCAGAGAGAATGCTGGGTCTTTATGAAGATCCATTTCCCATGGCAGTTAATTCATTGCAGGTGAATGGTCTTTGTACGTCACTATAAAAAAACAAACAGCAGGGATTTGTTCTCCGTTCTTCTGAGAACATTGGGGATAAAATGGTTAAACACGACTTCATGTGAGGGTTTATTTTTTTGGCGTTAGAGACATTAGTGACATTTACGGTGCATTTCTCTTAACCATTAACATACCAAGTTTAAAATGGCAAAAGACGCACATTTATGCAGTATACATCCCAGCATTACCAGCCTGTGTTTGAATAAGATTCTTCTGTTTTTTAAAGTATGTATTTATACAGTACAGTTCTCCTCTTTGCCTGACCTGATGTGTTGCATGCACAAAGTTACTGAAGTCCTTTTCCACACTCTTGCCGCCTCGGGTCATTTTTTTTCCTGCCTGTCAGCTGATGGAAACTCAGAGTAGTTGAGTTCAAAGCCTATAAGGCAGCTCATTGTATCATCTTTGGTGAAAAGCTTCAGTTGTTACACTCATTTTTATTGAGCCCCACCAGCCGTTAAGTCTGACCTGTCGTACTGTCACCTGTGAAGTGCATTCTTGGTTTGTATCCAGCCGTGCTTTAAGAGCTGGTGTTTTTAATAGGCCAGGTTTATTGTAAATGGCTGTTTTACTGAAGTAAATGTGACTTTTTTTATTTTTTAAACGTTGGTTGCCAGCCTTCAACACAACTCCACAAGGAACACAGAATAACAACAAACCTAAAAAAAAAAATTTAAAAAAAAGAGCAATAAAACAAGGTCATTTCAGATTCTGAACCCAGAATAGTTCAGCCTTTCTGTCTTTGACACTTGAGTAATTCTATTACACTGATGGTCGAGGAAATTCAAGGATTCTTGATTCCCACAGCATAAATGATTTCACACGATTTTGGTATGTAATCAGGTTTTAAAGTTCATGTGGGTGAAATAGACTAGAGATTGTCGGCCAGAAGAAATATAAATGACACATAAATATCTATTTATCTAGTTAATCAGGATGTTCATGCTCAGCCCCATGTTTTAATAATTCTCTGGTGTCCTCATAGACCGTGACCTTTTCCAGTCTACTGTGTGGACAGTGAGCGTATGTCCAAATCAAATAACCTGTGTTTACTCGGCCATTCTTACCCACAGAGACACCTGATGCTCTCTTACAGCCAACTCACACCAGTGGCCACGACACAGTGTTTGGGAATCACTGCATTAAGTTACGCAAATATGTAATGCTACAAAGAGTAAATATATCCAGGGTAAAATGTTTAAATATTTATATTATTTTTTCACAGAACAACAACCACCTCACACAGACACAAACTGTTTATATAACACAAAGGTTTAACCTCACACTGGTTTAACCTCATGAGGTATTATCCTAAATAAAGCCTTCGGTGCTCAGGGGATTAGACTGGAGGGCGGCTGACGAGAAAGGTTAAAATTTCAAAAAATGACTGGAAGCCAAAACTGGATGTTAAAACCATGATTAAAGCTCCTTATGGCATTGTTCTGTTTTGTGAAATCCAGTTATGCATGTTTTGGCTACAGTTACATATTTGACTGTGACTAGTGTTCATGCACAAGTTTCAGTTTGAGCAGAGGTTAAAATTATTTGAGGGTTTTTTTTTTGTCTGTCCATTGTGCATAAGAAATGGAAATCATTGTGAAAGTGAAACACAGAGGTACTGTGTACTGGAATTGTTTCAGCAACTGTTGGTTTCAGAAGCGGTTTTTGAGAAAGTGAGACAACTCGTCAAATCTGTAAAACTTCATCAATGTCTCTGGAAAAAAATGTTTGTTTTGGGGGGGTTTAAGTGCAAATGTCATGAAAAACTAAGACAATACCAGCTGCTATATATTGTATACACATATATGTAGACATATATGTATATATATATTTATATGTATTCTTATACATGTATGTATTTTCTATATATAGTTTTACCAGTTTCTGTCGTTGACGAACAATAATGGTTGAAACTTCATAAAGAGAGTCTTTAATGACAGGGACAGTGAGTTAGGCAGGAGAGATTAACTATGGTGTTGAAAAGTAAAGTACAGCAATGATCAATAAATCTCTATTTATTTCATCAGAATATCAGACCTGCTGTGGGGTTCTTTTCCTCTGTGGGCCTGAGACTGTGACTCAGTGATACAATAATCCCAGAGTAGAATCTGAGAGGCAGCGGTCCATCAATTAAACAATAACCTAACCTGCTGAGATCACATCAGCCTCAGGAGGACGCTGCTCTGTGGAGCTGTCACTCACATCAGGAGCTACTCTCACGTCTCCACTATCACACCTCCATTCTGTTATATGTAAGAGGACACCTTTGCAGCACTGTCAGGCACAGGGTTCATATTTGAGGGATGTTTTTAGAGTGGTATGTTTTCATCATTTGCAGGAACAGACACAGAGTGTATGATTCAACATACGACACAGTATTTAACACAGCAGCTTCATATTCTCCTAAAGAAAGTGTTGGACTAACCTCTATCATGACAGATAGTCAGGCTGCAAATATTACTACGACACCTGTCTGTGAATCTGTGATGGTTTGAACCAGCCATGATCCCTTTAATAACCCACAGTTGCAGGAGATGACACACACACCCCTCTGATTACCCTGTGTAACTGTTCCACAAATCTGTCCGTTCTGTAAATCGACTTCTGCAGTAACAGGTCCCAGTTTGCTGCACTGTGCTGAGCTGAGCTGAGCAGAGCAGTGGGATGCGTAATGGAAAATAGTTCCCGATCAGCTACGGTGCCGTCCCATAAAGCCTGTAAGTGACAGTATGTATATACTCACGCTGCAGTGTGTTCTCAAGCTGAGAGCTGGCCTGGAGCAGGTCATGGTAGCTCTCCATCTCCTCCTTGGTCTCTCCCTCCTGGAGTGCGGATGGGCCCATTCCCCCTGGACTCGTCCAGGTTCCGAGAACACCGTGACAGCGTCCTGAGACGTTCTGAAAGCGGCCCAGACCTCACATCCTCCTCAGAGTCCTCTAGTCCTCCATACTGTCAGCAGACAACCAAGAAAGTTAGGTCCACCTGCCTCAGCCGTCCCCGGATCCAAGCTGAATCGTCCTGCCTTGACCTTGAGCCGCATAGAGTAGGAGAAGAGAGCAGCGAGGAGAAAGCCGTGGTCTGTGGTCCTGTTGTGGCCCAGAGTTGGTGTGATGGGCTCCTCCTCACATCCACCACTGTCGACACACACACACAGCTCTCAGTCGGCTACTCCACAACAAACAGGCTCCATCTGGACACTGCTGTCTGCTTCCTCTGGCCCTCCCTCCCTCCCCTGCTGTCTCAGAGCTTTATTGCGTCAGCTCTGCACTGAGCACAGCTCAAGAGTCGACTGCTGACACACTGCCAACTCCCTCCCAACTACTGCTCTCACTAAGCACTCCCTCCCTGCTTCCTACATCTCACCACTGCTGACTGGACTACAGTGGGCTGGATTGTTGGGATATTTGGCCTCTACGCTCATGAAACCACTCTGTCCAGCTTCATCTAAACATTAATGCAAACACAGTAGAGAATTAATATCTTATGAAAATGAAAATGCATCGCGTCCCGTGCCAACAAGCTTCTCCCCTGTGGAGCACGGCAGATAATTCACATTCAGACAGAACAAATATGAATGGGTGTCATTGTGTACACATCAGCACACAGAGCCTTTCTCAGCAGCCCACTGCTCAGCCCACAGCTATTATGAATGGATCAGTGGCTGCAGACATATTACATATACATTCATGCACTCGTCCTCCATAAGGGATTTACAGAAGTTACTGGTGTTTTCTCTGAGGCCACACATGGAGCGGCAGCGTTGGTGAGTCACAGCCACTCAGCTGATGCAGCTTAGCCTCACAACCAGCTCAGTGCTGCACAGCATCTGCTTGGTGTGGTCTCCCTCTTACCCTCGCACACAAACCTAAAACAAGGAAACAAAGAGGGCAGACAGAAACACTCAGAACCAGCTGTGAAAACTGTTCTAAAAAAGACAATATTCTATCTTCAAAACAGTCGGCTTTATTTGAGAAAACTTTAAATATACTATAGTGTCAAAGAGGTACATTCAGCTTGGAGGTTTGCAGTGCTGAGGCAGCTGAGGTGCCTGAAGGTGACTGACCTCCACCCCCTCATATTCAGGGACAGGGTCCACAACCACAGAGCCTCTCGTGCTTAAGTATTTTTTGGCCATTTTGATTTTCTTACAAAAAAAGTGGCTGGAAAAAAGGTTGCATTAAAAATACGGTCCATTACTTCATCATTATAACCTGACAGGCAAAACATTGGATCTGAGGAAAATAGCGTCTCTCGTGTCACTTTAAAGGTTTTTCTTATTAAACAAAGCAGGCCAACCCCCTCTCCCGCTCCCCACAACAGCGTCCTCTGACGTTCAGTATCTTCTGGCACAGTGCAGGCAAGAGGTCAGCAGGTCAAAATCAACCTCCTTTACAAACAAAAAGATCAAACTCAATGACAGAGGGTTTAAAATGCTGTTACAGTTTTCTTTCGGTATTAGAACACAGTCGGTGGAGGTGAACCAGGTGAGACTGTGGACTATAGGTTCACTACATGTCAGATGGTTCACAGGTCAATGAGGGGCTGCCTGTGTTTGTGACAAAGATTACCAAACATCACACGCTGAAGTAACACAGGTATACTCGAACGATAATAATCATAATCATTAAATGATAAAAAGGTTAATGTCATAAAATATAGCATTTGTGAGTCAAAATACACTTAAATAAATATCCAAAAGGTACGATATAGGTTTGTCAGTCTCTGATGAACTATGGCTATGTTTAAATGGAATGTAGAAAGCACTAGAAATAAGTTAAAGGCTGAACCACCACAATCAGAAGAACAAACATGGCACAGTAAAATAAACCGTTTCTCTTTACACTTTGAATTCAACGTCGGGGGAGGGGTAACAGCGAGACTTTAAATACTTAATTTAGGCCCGAGTGTCTGAGTGCATTTAGTGCGGTGTGAATATGTGTTTGTGTGTGTTGTTCTTGGCTATCAGAAATGTACATATTTGTGTGTGGATGTGTCATTATGACAATTTGCTTGATGAGAAAACCATGGTTTCTAGTGCAGGAAATGTCGGACAGAACTACGTCACCACTGAGGTTTGAAGTAATCCTGGTTTTCATCAACACACAGGAATTTCCCGCTCTCTGATATGACAACAGGGATACACACACATACATACAAAAAACACAGAGACTGGTCACACCAGTGTGGACAAAGTCCCATCATGTTACAATCGTCTTTTTTTGGCTGTGAGCAGATTAGGTTTAAATTATACTCTCTACAGTGCAATTCACATGTATATGATTAAACGTCTCATTTTTCACTGGACTCTTTAAATTACCTCTGAGATACGACAACTTTAGTTTTGCCACAATATTGCCAGAATACATTACATAAATCTCTAATCTCTCTCAATCTTGTGCACGCACACACTCACACACACACAGACAAACACACTTTTTGGACTGAGTGATAAGTCTCCATTTTGTAAAATGAGTCCTCCAAGGATTCACACTAGTGGTCAGGAGGCAGCGGAATCACTACAGGAGACAAACTAACATCTATGAACCAGGACCCGTTTGCAGCTCTGAGCTGGATTGAAATCACATTCTGTCACTAACAACAGTTCAGGCCTGTTGGATGAGTGCAATCGCCGAAACGCATGAAATACGACAAAAGAAGAAAGGACAGTAACTGAAGAGTCTTAAGGTGTGACCGCTGAGGAAGAGAAAAAGAACACTGCAGAACACAGTGAAGAACGCCTGGGGTTTGAAACTTACTTTGGTGCCTTCTTCTTCTTTCATGCAGGTGAACATTTCTCAGAGCTAACATAACGACCGCTTGTTAAAACACAGCAGTCAAGCACAGCTGCTGACAAGGCAAATGTGTTTCCATTCCAATTGTAAGCTAGCGTTTATAAAAAAAAGTTTGATAAGGAAAACTCATGCCTGTCATCGTTTTTTTTGGAGAATAAAATACCACAGCATTGCTCAGCGGACATGCTCAATTAGGGATTTGGAAAAAAAAAAAAAAAAAAAAAGGACGGAACACAGAGACACATGTCGGAAATCTTCCATCTTTGTCAGAATGTTTCAACGGTTCCTGTTTTTTTTTTCTTCTAATTTTCTTGTTCCTCTTTTCAGATTAAAAAAAGAGGAACTCAGCTCCAGCTGACATCCTTGAAGTGAGTCACCAACGACTTCCTTCACACTCGCTCCCTCAGGTTCTTGTAGGACAGTGGTGTCACAGCTGCAATCTGCAAAAGCACAACAACAGTTTTATTAGTTTTTCCTTCTCTGGTGTCTGTGTCCAGAAACAGGGGGGATGCAACAAGACCCTGAAAGGAACCCATTACCATCAGTAAGACAATCAAAGATAGCACCTGTCGCCCTCTGGTGGGGCACAGAGGTCATGCTCTGCCAAAAGCACAGAAGGTGAGGAGGGAGATGGCATCACTTTGTAATTCCACAATTTAAAAAAACAAAACCAACATAAAAAAATCCCTCCACCAGAGACCATTACAAATTAGTAAGCTCCCAAATTAATGGACTTTTACAGATTTGGTTGGTAAAGCAGAACTGGTTAGAGGGTGAGTTTTGTTCGATTGGAGTTTTACCTGGAAGTTTGTAGAAGGTCACATTCTGAAGGCTATGAAGAGGATAGAAACGCAGATTAAACACTGACATTATGTTTAGTGATTGTGTTGCACCCTGTAGGTGATGGAGATGCAGGTGTAGATGACCCTTATGAACAGTGAGCAGAAGAGACAGTGAATGTGGTTTAAACCTACCTACAGGTAGGTCCAAGATAAATGAAAACATCAAGACTGTAAGAGTGCAAAAATCCTACATTTAACAATTGTTATATAAAGTGCATTTGTGGCAAAAAATATTTCTTAAATATTTTCTTTTTTTCAAACTGATAAAGATTATTTAAAGCCATTATCTAAATGTTAATTTAAAAAATATTTGTGCAGGTGTTTTCATTTATTCTGTTCTCTGTAGGTGAAACCACTGCATTTGGTCTGAGGTTAAGGCAGCAACACATCATGCATCAAGTTCAGCCCAGGCTTCACAAACTCAACCACCGACCCAGGATGTATTATACAGAAGGCCAAAGGAACAGGAAAAAAACAACACAGTGTTACTGGTTAGAATGACTGACCAGGTTTGTTGTTTCACACCAACACAACATCCAAGGAAACTGAAAACCACCACAACCAGCCCACAGACCAACAAACTCAATGTTCCTCACCAAAATAATGGGATAAACTTAAAATAAAAATGTTTTTGAGAAAACTTTTTTTTCAGTGCACATGCAGCAGAGCTTGTAAGCTGAAGTTTTACGGGAGGTTGGAAAGAGCACACATCTTAAAATATTTGTTTCTGGTAATACTTTCCAATAATATCGTGCCTCGTTTGACATTTTATTGTGGGGTTTTGGTAAAAGACAGCATCTTTCCAGCCAACCTATTGCAGCTAACACCACAAACAAGAGCACACAGGGTCTTCCTGGATGTGATCTATTTGCTAATGTCTTTTTTATTCTTTAGTCAGATTTCAGTTATGCACCAACACAGCCGGTAAGGTTGGCTTTGATTGGATTGAAGGACCCAAAGATGGTCTGGTACCTGCTTAAATGACAGTACTGGACTCATCTGAAAAGGTTCTCATGAGCAGGGGTCTGGCCGAAGACCGGGGAGACTGGGTGTCCCCCGTGCCCGACTCAACCATGTTCTGCTGGAAGGGTGAGGCAGAAGATACCAGTGATATATCTACGCTGACACAAACACTTTGTCTCTCACCAACGCATACACACACATACACACACAAACAGTCAGACACATGCAAACACAGAGAGAGGACCATACAGGTACACACAAAGACTTGGGGAACATGGATCATTAGTGTTGGACTGACCGCTGTTTATTATTTTATGAAAACAAGAGAAAATTCTCCATCTAACCAGAATTAAGAATTAAGTTTCATTTCATAAAGTCTTCTAAATTTCCTGAAAATTTTGTTTGCACTAGACTTTAGACACACACACACACACATTCACACATACACACACCCTGCAGAGATCGTGGTAAGGGTCCAGGATGAGGTTAACTTGAGCCTCATGCAGGAACATTTGTTTGTTTGTTTTGGACGTGCTGCATTCACCCTGCAGGACATGCAAAGGCAGCAGGCACCAGAGCAGAACAGGCAGCTGATAAAGGCTGACTCAAACTACTGTGTGAACAAACTGAGGCTTATTCAGTCGGTCCTGTGCTACTCCACACTGGTGACAGAAACAGGCACATTCAATTCAAATGGCCTGACTTTATAAAAATAGATCTTAAGGAGAGCAGAGGGGTCAAAGTTTGAGAAAGAAATCAAGAAAATGAACTTGAATTTTTACTGATTATTTTTCCAACTTCTACGAGGACACTAAGCTGGCTTATTTAGGACAAAAACGAATCAAACAGTGGGAGAGGAAGGACAAGGCAAGACAGGAGACAAGCAAGATAGGCGGACACAGAGACTCTGTACTGAGACTTCAGACACAGTAGCAACAGAAAGCAAGCAAGACCTCAGTCACTCCATGAGAAGTTGTGAGTGCTAGCAGTCTGTGACAGCATGAAGATAGTAGAAGTCCCCGAGGAAGGAAGGCGATGTTTCCTCTTTAGGGAAGCAAGTTTAGTAAAGAGGAGAGAGGAAGGAAGAAGGTGAGAAAGAGTAAAAGGAAAGAGTTAGAGACCAAGTGAATGCATCAGTGTAAAAAAATAAGTGGAAGTCCAGATTAGTCAAAAGAAAAAGTTAGAGCATAGAACATAAACATTAAAACTAATAAAATGCTACATTTTTCTACTTCAAGTATTTCACTCCCTAAATATGTACAATTATAGGCTTGTTTTGCACCTTTTCATGCAAATCTGTGTCAATAAAACCGAATGGAAGTTGTAAAGGTACCACTGAGAATATTTATGCAATCAAACTTTTGCAGCTGCTTGGAATACGCAGAAAACTCATGAGGGAAAATGAAAAACAAATGTCTGGCACAGCTGAAGACTGAAGGAAATGGGAAACATCCAGTATTTTGTTCTGCTCAGATAAATTACTGACATATAATAACTACATTCTAAAGTCACTCCCAAATATGTAAGAGGAAAACACTAAAGACAGACAGAGAGACAGATAATGTCACATGCACAGTGTCTCAGCTTTACCTGTCGAGCATTGGGTCCACGGCGTTTGCGGAACAGCATGAGCAGGATCTCTGGTAGGAGGCTGACCAGGATGAGTAAGATGATGACCAGCCAAGCTGACACTGAGCTCAGCATGTTGGCAAACACAAAATACAATCGTTGTTGGCTCAGGAAAGGCCTGTGAGAAAGAGAATGCTTTAGATTCACACAGCACAACACCACCAGGGAGTGAAAAGGCCAGTGTGTGTTTTCCAACCATATTATTCCTCCCCAGAAGAAACTAAAAAAAACATAGAAGGCCAGGGATCCCCAGATCACAAAGTGGTTTATCCAAGTCCAGTGCCGTGTGTCCAGAGCAAGCTGGAAAAAAAAAAGGTTTTACAATGTGAACAATATGGAAGACTTTTAAAAATTAAAAACAGTAAAGTTGATAACTTTCTCAAAAATAAAAACCAACAGGATTTATTTACCGTGAGTGTAACAGTGAAGACGAGGATAGTGAAGACAATGGTACCATACGACCAGTTTCCAAAAACCTGGTTTAAATTAAAATAGACAACAAATCAAATCAAATTTGAAGATAAGCCTTCATCTGGTAAGTTAAGGGTCAGGGTATGGTTAAATTAGAGGTCAAACCTGGCCATTGTCCTGTAGTGCAGGGTTTGTGAACAGATAACGAACACCAAAGAAGAAGACCAAACCATGGAAGACACCGAGCACTGTCCAGTAGAGGAAAGGACCCCAACGTAACATGGCATTCTTAGCAATCTCCCTAAATAAAAATATAAAGTCGCCTTTGTTAAAGAATAATATGAACACATGACTGAAATGATTTAAAACAGTTAACAAATACTGTGAATTCACACATACAAGGGAAAGGGAGCAGATTAGTGCACATTCCCTAATTTACCTGTAGAGGGTAGCATTGTCCAACAGAACCTCCATTGGGACGTGCTGCTCGAAGAGGCTGTAAGCCAGGATGGGCATGGAGGTGAAGCAGATGTTGTACATGGTCAGATAGGCGGCATCATACAGAGGCTGGGGATTAAAGGAGCAGCAGGAGGAAAGGGGAGGAAGAGGAGAATAAATGGATGGGGAACCAGAGGCTTACATTTCATAGATGACAAGACTCATACGGGCCAGGACTATGAAAACAGGTGCATCATAATGCGTCATAATGGTTAATGTGTAAATGTGATGTAGGCTTACTGGCCACTTCATTAGCAAATACCATTAACAGTTTAATGTACAAATCTAATTAGCAAATAACAGAACCGTATGGTTTACTCAGATTAATCTACATATCAAGCTTGGTGGATTTTAAAGAAAAAAGGCCAGAGCTGGTTTAAAATTGTGGGCTGTAGCATCAGTGATGATACTGTGTGAGAAATGTTAGCCAAATAGACTAATAAACTTAGAAAACATTTAGCATTAAGTCACTTGAATCTGTAATTATTAAAATGTTTTGACAGCAAAAGCAGACTAAACCTGGCAATATTAAAGTGTGTCTAATGAACTGGCCGCTGAGGTTCTGTCTGCGTTATTACACAGGGCCTTGTGATCTAACGCTGTAAGTCAACACTCAAACATTCCAGGGGAAACGGGGACGGTTAATCCAAAGGAAAGAGTCTGGAAGGCAGCAGGAAGAGGACGTGTATTCAAGGGACTCCACTTTCTTTTATGTTCACAACATCTTTGAACCTCCAGGATCCTTGGGGACATACTCACTTGCTGAGAATAGCCACAGAAGAACTGGTACAAAAACTGAGGTAAGATGAAGCAAAGGTTCTGCAGGGTAAACACAAGAAGAACGGCAGGTCAAATACACAAAGAAAAAAACATGGAAGCACATCAAACAAATGGTTCAGTTCCCACATGTTTGTACTCAACACAGATAAACTGTAGGTATGATGAAAAAAAAAACAATAACCATAGTTAACACAAAACTCGTGTTTTGGTTTAAAACTACGTCTGTTAAAACCACGTCTGTTTATTGTTAAACCCTTAAACGAAGCGAGTGCTTGTGTGTGTAAGTTTGGGGAAAAACAACCGTTGCCATAACCATAAACAAGTTGTCAGCCTGAAGCCCAGAGAGGTTAATGTGACTGAAGCATCTGTTCCACTACCTTGTAGAAGAAATATTGCACCAGGTGTGCAATGCGCACATAGTAGAGGTGCCCATGAGCCAGAAGAAGTTTCTTGAGGTGCTTAAGTTTGGGAATGGCATAGTCGCTGTTCCTAACTGCCTGTCGGCCCTCTTTGCCTTTAATACCTGAAACGACAAGAAAGGGCCAATTATGCAGTGCCTTAATCAACAAAAGCTGGGCCTGTCTCCATCTGGAATTAAGTGGAAATCTGTTCACCAGCTTCAGTCCAAAATTCCCTTACCAATGCCAACATGAGCTTCCAAAATCATGCTGACATCATTGGCACCATCTCCAATAGAAAGCGTGATTGGGCTGCCTTTGGAGTTCTTCACCATTTTCACTATCTATATATAGAGGGAGAGAAAGGTTAATATGTCTAAAAGCAAATTCTTCGGGTGGAGATGATTTCATGATTTGACTCATTTCTCTCACTTGAGCTTTTTGTAGTGGTGCCATACGACAACAGAGGACAGCAGTGCAGTTTTGACATATTTGCAAAAACAGGTTCTTGTAGCAATGAGAGCTGGATTCAGAGGAGGAGTTCAGCACCATGGAGAGAGTGGCTCCATCTATAATGAAACCATAGTCTTGGCTCGCACAAGACCAGCTCCTGTGACACAAAGAAGAAATTGTGTAACATCTGAAAGAATTGAACAATGAGATAAAGTTGTCAATGCCCGGTACGAACCTGGTGACACCTCCTTTAAATGGTGGAGCATCCTGCACTGTTTTCTTATGGTATTCATTCAACAGGTCATGCAGTCGCTCCTCACGCCTCTTTCCACCATCCTCAAGAGTTCGCACCGTTAGTTCCAAAAGCTCTGTATTTCTCTGGAACAACCTACAGGCATAACATGTGGATTTTGCAGTCTCCATCTTATCTCCTGTTAGTACCCAGATCTTCATGCCTGCTCCCTGCAGAGCTTCCATGGTTTCCGCTGCTTCTTCTTGGAGCCTATGGCAGACAAATAATCAGGATATTAAAAAAATAAATCAGCCTTGAATAGCATAACTAGACATTAGTGGATTCAGTGCTGTGACACGTCCTACATATACAAACTGTTGACAACAGTGACCTACTTGACAAAACTACCCATAGTGAGACACTGAACTAAAGAAGGAAAACAAAATACCACGTACAACACCAACATAGATTATCAGTGCACCCCTAGGACCAATACATTTAAACACGCAGTTACACAGTGCGTTGCTCACCGATCTTCTACAGCTGTGGCTCCTATTAGACTCATCCCAGTCTCCAGCTGGTTGTAAACAGCCATGAGCTTCTCTTCTCTTTCTTGCAGAGCCAGTCTGGCTTCCCTCAGCCCCTCGTCTGCCTGCCGGTACTCCTCTGCACTCAGATATTTGAAGGCTACGCATAATGTCCTGTAGCCCTCCTGTAAAAATTGAAAAAGTTAAAAAGTCGACTTCAACATGAAATTATTTTCAGGAAAAACTATTTGCCAATGTCACTCACTGTTGCATTACGCTCCACATGTGTGCGTGTTCTTTCAACCTCTTCCTGCCTGACCCGGGGGAAAATAGAAGAGTCTGCTCCTTTACAAAAGAGAAGTGTTTCACCTGCGGACAGATGAAAAAGTAGTAAACAAAATGATGCAAACTGCCTGGTGAGACTGAGTGACCTGAAGTACAACATCTCTGACCCACCTGACTTTGCTCTGACAATGACACTCATTCGCCTTCTCACTGGGTCAAAGTTCAACACATGAAGTAGTTCATACCTTTAGGGGGTAAAAAGAATTAAATATAAATAAACTGCAGGGCTTAAATTATTTGAAGACATGTATTTTCTATTTACAATCTCACATTTCAATGTCGTTGTTACTGTTGCGAATTTTCATGTTTTTACTTTCAAGACCCAGAAATGTGAAGCCATATCTGCAGAAAAAAAACAACAACTCTTAACTCAAGTGGAGCATAAAGAACCTGTTTGTCATCTTAGCCGTTCTCCTACCTCATGGCACCTTTGACCAGAGCAACTTCATCAGGGGAGGAGGCGATGAAGCCCCTTTGGTCCTGCAAAGACACTTCTCCGTCTGCCACTAATCCATCAATTTGGTCATCATTCTGGTCCGTAGATTCCTTCACCTGAACTGTGTGGCACAAACACAGGGCCCGCAGGAACAACTCCTCCTTCTCCTACCAAAAGCAACATTAACCAGTTTAGACAAGTCACTTTAGGTAAATCATTTGTAGACCATCAAATAGTCATTTATTAATATTGATTGTTTTACTGCTAAATGATCTCATAGACACGATAAGACTTCTTCCTAACATCATAAACAGAAGCTCATGTTAAGATAAATCCCTGTGTTTACAACAGCATGGCTTCTGGTCTCTACACAGTGTAGTGCAATAGTATTAAGGTGTTATCAGGTGCTTGGGTCAAGAGTTTGGAGCAACTCTGCTTCCTCTCCATGCTGAGTGCATATGTTAAGATGTCAATAGAGTCTGCACACGGGTGACCCACGAAGGGTTTTTCTGAGCAGGGAGCAAATTAATGAGCATATGCTGCAGCCCGAGCCACAATTACAACAGATGGAGGGACATCACAACACCCACCCTGCCAGCTTTCTGCTGTGGTTTGCTCACAGGTCCATCTGGGACACAGAACCCATCCATCTCAGCGCTTCCATCCCGGTGTTTGTACTGGAAGCCATCAATGCAGCACTCGATAAACTCCATGTTGTTCTGAGTGAGGGTGCCTGTCTTGTCCGTGAAGACGTATTCCACCTGCAGGCCATGGGATAAGAACAACATCTAAGACTTGACATCTAAGAGTTCCAATCTATACCAATAAAGCTGGAAATGTAGCCACAGTGAACGGTAAGATTTGAAAAATGAAAGGGTGTCATTTAAATTTAGGACAACAGTCAAGGTGCAGGGTTAACAGGATTAGCCTTAGCTTGGCTTAGCCTCGCAAAAGGCTAAGACTGTTTGTAATTCATTAGCTTTGTGTTTTTAACATGATTTAAAAAGTTTGTCACAAGAGGTGTACAATTCCAGACAAAAGCTGAGCTCTCCAATACAATTTCAAAATTACAATAATACAATACAATACAATTAATTTGTCTTTATATATTTCAATACATTAGATTTAAGTGATTAGCTGGCATTTTCTAATCACCTAATGCATGCTATGTAATACAGCAGTATGTAAACACATTTAAAAAATAATTCTATCCCGACCTGGCCCAGCTCCTCATTGAGGTCTGATGTGTTGACCAGTGCCCCCTCCTTGATTTCAGGATCATAGAAGTCTTTGTCCCAGGCGATAAAGAAGGACCCCAAAAACTTTTGCATCTCAACCGTCACATACATGGACACCGGAATGATGAAGTTGAAGAGTACCATAAAGGACAGGAAGTCCGTAAACATCTTTAGGTACTGTGGGGGGAAATAATATGTTTAAATGCAAATGTACATGATTAGCAAATTACTTTTTTAATATCCTGATTAACTGCTACAAAATTTGCAATAGTTTAGACTGCAACACTTTTACATGAGACAGAAAACCTCAGCCGAGAATCAGTAATGACAGATAAAACAAGCAGCAAACTTGAAAATATGATGCACACTGATGCAATCACAACTTTGCATCAAGTTCTCAGTTCATAAACGCTGAGAGCATAGAAATGAAGAGCGCAGCCGTTGAAATGGACAATGTCACAATATAGTGCAGAAGACAATATGTCTACAAACGAGGTGTTTTACAGCTGTTGACTGGGAGACGAGGGCTTTTTAACCTCTTTAATGTAAACAGTTAACGCTGTATTCACTGGAGTTATAACGACCACCAACAACACTGTTAATATGGCAAATATCCAATCTGACTGTTTGTACCATAAACACTTTCACATATCTTGTTTACATAACTAACACAGTACAGTTGTGTTGTGAACTCACAATATTGGTGTCCTTCTCTCTCTGGGTTTTCTGATTGTACCAGGGCTCATCTTGTCCAGGTTTGCTCTGCCACACATACTTTAGGGTAGTGCACACTAAGGCTTTGCTCACCAATATGCAAAGGTAAACAATAAGGAAGGCGTTGATCGACCTGACAATATAACAAAATCATTAGGTTCATATCACTTCCATGCAGTCTAAAGCGTGTTTACCACAGAGCACAGGAGCAGAGTGGAGCAGAGAAGACTGAGGCTTTTTGCTCAGTAAAACGTACAACCTGACAACAACAGATGAAAAATTGATTAGACTGATATATGTATCCAGATTTTCGAACCAATCATTATTAACTGGATACATACAAGGATGAACACTACATGAAATATTTAAGACTTGACTTGTGAAAAAAAACAAAAACAAAAAAGTGCTAATGTTCCGCTAATTTACTGTTCTTACTGAATACAATTATTTTGAAATAATTCTACATTAGCTAGCTAATTAGCTTCGAAGTCTGTATTGTAATGAGGCTGGAGTGAGACATTGGGGCAACACACTTTTTTGAAAAATAGTCGCTTCACTCTCAAATATACCAGGTCAGGCTTCCCGCTGCCTACTGTTCCACTCACATGCTCTGTTTTCAACTTTTCTAAATAAACCTACTTCTCCACAGCAGAACGTTTCTGTGATTTTCCCTGGTAGTTGAGAGCCATCTTTGTCTCCATGCCGGTGTAAACTGCAACACCTAAGGAAGGGCAGAGAGAGGAAAACAGTACAAACTCATCCTGAAGATAATGGGCCAGCTTCAATAATACAGTGAGTAACTCCAATGGAGTCATTATTATTTGACTGACCATAGATCTTCTGGGTGTTCTTTAAGGTTGCTCCTTTTAACAGTAGGTTTTCTGGGCCCAAAGACCTAAAACATAATCACACCAATTCCAAGTTTGGTCAAAAAGAATCTGAAAAAATTCCAAACAGTTCTATCTTCTAAATGGGAACCTGGCAGGCAAGTTGGCATCCGCTCTACAATCAAAGTGACAATACACAGTGTGACTGCAGCCTGGAGTCAGAACAGCCCCAGTGTTCTTAGGAAGGACACATTTGTTGGCATTTGTTTATATGGCTGATACAAAACAGTCAGTGATAAATGCCTACGGGGCTTCTCTGGAAACTGCGGGTAGAGCCAAGCCAGGCTCTTTTCATTTTAATTCTTGACTACAATGAGGGATCAATATAATAACGATTTGTTGGTGATGCAAAGGGAAACAAATTAGGGATTAAGCAACTGCATTTGGATTCTGCTCTTACTTAAAGTAGGAGTGATGATCATGTATGAGTGGTTTTTACCTGACTACTGGCTCCTGGTCATTTTTGTAAATGTGCATACGGCCAACAAACCTTGAAGGAAAAAAAAACAATCTCTCAAACATCAGTAGGATTACATGATTAAACAATGATAAGATCACTCATTAAGCTTGGTGGCAGTGGAGATGTTCCAAGTCAAGGTTTTTGTTTCACTAAATGGAATCCATACCATGAATTAGCCCCAAGGGGGAGCCAAATGTCTTTCGGCTGATCTGAGTGTGATTGATGTGAAAAAACTAGTGTTCTGGCAAGACCAAGGACTAATGGAAATAGTAAACAGTGGCTTTATTTCTCACTGTGCACCTATTAATAGAATCATTAAGGATATTTCCGACATTGAGTGAATCCATGTGCAGTCAGTGACAATTCTATCATGAGGTGTAAATCTTTAGAGGCTGTGTGCTGAGTTGCCTACTTGTAAAGGTCAGGCTGTGGCTGTTCACACTCAATGGTGGCGTTGAGAGATTCCAGATCCCTCTCAATGTCTGAGACGGTATAATGGGACTGGACAGAGAGGAGAGAGAGAGAGAGAATGAGAGTTTGTTCTGGTTCATTGTTTCCCTTGGGCTCTCATGCATTAAGATTACACAGAATAACACTAGTAAAACATGTTATACTTAACCACATATTGTGCATTTTATTAATCCAGCAATAAGTAAAGAAATAAAAATGATAAATGGTGTTTCCCTTCACTCCTGTCCCATTACTATATCATAGTTTGCAGCATTGCCTATTAATTAAAAATGTAATTGGCTGGTTTGGGCTGGCGAGTGATTCACAGACACAAATAATGAGAAAGAGGGAAGTAGAGACGAAAAATGCAAAAACTCTGAAACTGACAACAAGAAAGATAAAACGTGTCATAAAAACAGATGAGAAGAAGCTTTGAACAGATTAATTTTTATTTCTTGCATCTCTAATGGTGTGGAATGCAGTGCTGTCACAGCACTGACGCTGCACTTTTACCCACAATGCTTGTAATATACCCGGACTGAGGTTCCCTCAAGGCGACGGGTACTGTTTGTTTACTCTGATTTCACGGCAGGTTAAATGAGAGTAAATTATTATAATTAAAAACCCGTAGAATGTCACAGAACCTGATTCAAGGGTACTAAGTTTACAAATAGTCACACATCTACGATCAGGTGGTCAGCTGGACGCCACAAAAACAAGAGCAACATGGAAATAACTCTTAAAAAAGGAAAATAAATGTTTGTTATTTACTTTTTTTTTAAAGCAGGATGACGCAACCAATGATTGTAATATTTTCAATAAACAATTAAACGTTTAGAATGTTTATATCATTTTTTTCCACTGCAACAATTAGTGATGTTAAAACACAATGTATTCAGAGCTTTCCTAAAATTTCTACTATGTCAAAAGGTTTTTTTCTTCTGAAAATACATAAGAGGCAGATGAATCCAACATAATCTCACTTTATGGTTGGACTCTCCATCCAGACTGGCTGTAGTGACAAAACACGTTGCGTCCTCTCGGCTCGACTGCAGCAAAATCAAGTCACAGGGAAAGGTCTCATCTTCTTCCACTTCCACCACATCTCCAACCTGAACAAACAAGTCATAAATATTTATGGCAGATGAAGCTGCCTTGACTCTTTAAATGCACAATCACTAATTTTAATCAATTGCTGCAGTTACAACCATAATAAAATGATAGAATGATTAAATGAAATAAACATATACGGCGTATGAGGTTGTTATGGACACCGACAGTAAAACAAAATAAAAATATTTAAGTCATTAACACACTAATATATGAGCAGTAAACACTGTAAGTCATTGTTGCAGCAAAAATAACTTCAAACAAATGATACAGGATGATTGCATCCACAGACCATTACTGTAAATGAGTATCTATCATGAGTCCTCATTTACTCATTCATGAGGTCTGGTGGATATCATCGTAAGTACAATACAAATAAGCTGTCATTGCTCAGTAAATAAACACTTACTAAATCCTTCAATCCTTACGTCCTCAGAGCCAACAGTGAGTTTACTTTTGTAAATCAATGAAGAGCAGCTTTGATAGCTGGGTGTCATTATTAAGGCTGTGAAGACACTGCACCAAACTAACAGTTTACTGTTTCACTGTGCCATTAGCCTGTTGTTTCAACCATAAACACTGGAGCAACTGCATCATGTCTGGAATATTGTTTTTCCTTCTGTTTTGGCCTGAAAAACATCAGCACTAGCTACAGTCTAGCAGCATAAAGACAGAGAGAGAAAGACAGGGAAATCGTGATTGATCCACAGCTACTCTGTATTTAATCAAACACAAATTTAATCCCTTGTTTTTTTTTCTAAATAAAAAGTGAAATATAATAATATGAGACCATCTATAGATTTTAGTGGTCAGAGAATGAGGCCTTCTAAACACAAACTCAGTTGGATCAAAAATGTTGCGATGTTAAAGAACATCTCTGGGGAAAACTGTATTTAAATGTGTTGTATCGTTCTAATATGTAGTGTAACGTGGCAGCTGAGGGGACCTTGATCTTCTCGCTTTCCTTGCGTATCCTTCGGCCATCCTCCAGCACTGTCACTGGGTACGTGTTGACCTCTTTGTCCGCTTTGTGCCGAAGCCAATCTTCATAGCCCTGTGGCAACAAAACAGCATTTAGACATGGGTGTTACTTGTCCAACACACTGTCAAAATAGACTGAGAAAAAACTGGAACAAGAAAATAATCTCAACTTTTATAGGACTGACAGACAGTCCAACCAGCTATTCACCTGACAAACATTATTGCCTACAATATAATCTTCACCAGTAGCATTTAATCAGTGAGTAAAAAAAGGCAATCTGCAGCAGCGTGCTGGCATGATACCATAAAAATATACCGAGTCAGATAAAACAATTCATGGGACCGCAGAGGCATACGGCAGATTAATGTAGACTTTATAGTACTTAAAAATAGGGAGGAAGACTGAAGCAGTGGTGCAGGGATGCAGTGAGAGAGAAACCACTGTGTGTGTGTTGGTATGTGTGTGTGCCAAGGCTGAGCTGCAGCCAGAAATTGGGATAAGTGGGGAAAGGTGATAGGAGGAGGGAGAAAGTCCAGTTGATTGATGCAGAGAAATGATAGCAAGCGTGTGATGGAAAAGGTTTCGAAGTATTCCACACACTCTAAACTGACTAGGAGGATGAAACAGACCAGCATGGGATCTCACTTCAAAGCCTGGCTCAAAACATTCTGGTGCTATCTGTGCTCCCCATATCTTTTTAGAAGGAAGTCCAGCCACTATTGTTTATTTCAAGGCCACAGCATTAAATTAACAAAAAAAAAGAAGAAAAAAAAAGAAGAAGAAGCTGAAAACAATAGAACATTTGCAGCAATACACTTCTCTTTACAACTTATAATGTGGTATTCTTGTGGCCTCCCTCACTCTTGTTTTCTTTCATTTTCATTTTCTCCCACAGAGCCAATTTCATCTTTTTTCCATCATCTTTTTCCCCAGAGCAGAACTGCAGAGTACATTAATACAAAAACCCTAGAGAACATTAATTACATACTTTATATGAAAATCACAGCAAGAGAGTAACGAGGGCAGTGGGACTTATTATGTTCTATATGAAGAGAGTAGAGATATCACACAGTGACAGATAAATGAGGACAAGGTTGGCATGGAAAATAGACCAATCAGCAAGCTGGTGTTATTTAGGCTTTCACAGTGAGCCTCCCCCTCACCCCCTCCCAACGCTGCTCCTGTTCAGAAGCAGTTCCATCCTTTAGTCTCCTGAACTATTTATCTAAAATGGGGCGGGTTTGATGTAATGACTGTGAAGATGGAACACTGAAGCATTTTCATTAACGACTCAGAGGGCTACCACTGGATCGTTGGTGTCTATTGAATTTATTTCATTCCAGCATGAATGATTTGGTCAGTGTTAACCACCAGGCCAGAGCAACAAAACAGGTCGTGCCTCAGTGTGAGGGTAAGGCAGTTGCTTAGTGCTGAATATTTTACCTGTGTTATAAGGACATTACATCAGTGAGTAATAACTCTGCAGCATGAAGAGCTCTGAGGGTTCTGTGTTCACAGACTAAGCACACAGCTTTGGGTTTTCTAATTTCAGCTCAGTTTTTTTGACAGCAATAAACACTACTCTGTGGAGGCCCATTGTTTCTCCCCTTATCATAATAAATGACATCCCCACAGAGTGGTGCAGCCAGAAACTGGGATAAGTGGGGAAAGGTGATAGGAGGAGGGAGAAAGTCCAGTTGACTGATGCAGAGAAATGATAGCAAGCGTGTGATGGAAAAGGGTGTAGAAAGTATTCCACACACTCTAAACTGACTAGGAGGATGAAACAGACCAGCATGGGATCTCACTTTAAAGCCTGGCCCAAAACATTCTGGTGCTTTCTGTGCTCCCCATATCTTTTTAGAAGGAAGCCCAGCCACTATTGTTTATTTCAAGGCCACAGCATATAAATATATATATATATATACACACACACACATATATATATATATATGTGTGTGGGTGTGTGTGTGTGTTTGTAATGTAAATAAATTAAATAGCATGTAATGACCTAACTCAAAACCTGCTCATATATATTCTTCTAGATGCTTCTACACCACTTTGGCACTTTCTCAGCTCCCTGGATCCTAGTGCAAGTGATTCAGTCAGATGAAGAACCATTGGTCTATATACATGCAATGCAAATTGGTCTCACGCTGCCAGGTAAGGAGAGAGTGACGTGACATAACAAACAAATGCTTTCATTAACATCTCATGTGACTGGATCTTACCTGCTTAATGGCTGTTACCGTGATCACAAAAAATAAGGGCAGGCCACTGGTGACTGGGCTGGTGGGAGTGTCCACTATCACCTACAGAGACAGGAAAAAAAACATTTCATAGTTAAGTCAAGTTAACAGCGTCTTAGAGACTACAAATCACAAGTGAGTGTCACTGTAGCAGATGTTTCCCTCTCTGTCTGTGTGTGTGTGTGTTTGTGTGTGTGGTTGAAGAGGGAGGAGAGTGTGGTTTGGAGGACAGACTTGCCCTTAAAAATGCAGGGTGTTGTCTGTTTATGGAAACCTTTTTTCTCCCTGACATGTACCTATCAGTACCAATAAAAATATTACATTCAAAAGGCAGGGACAATACTGTCTCTACAGTTTGCATTTCAACATGTGTGTATCAAACTACTGTAATATGTGCTAATAGATGACTAAAAGGTTGAAACGTGTTAGACTGTAGACTAAACTAAGTCTTTTTTTAAGCTTCAAGAGTCACACGTTGAAGAGACGCCACAATGATCCTGGAGCCACGTACTACACAGCTTTAGTTGGACAGTTTATAATTCTAGAGTATTCCTTTTAAATGGTCTATGCTAAAACCCTGAACACAAGAGGGCTACTCGAAAGCCATAATACGGCAGATTAATCTGCATTTTTTGAGCTTGAGGAATGTCGGCTGGTGTCCTTCTAAGATGCCGTTTAAATTACAGCTCACACAGAAGTGACAGACTAAGCCTGTTTTATTCAGAGCAGGAGTAAAGGAAGTTCGCAACTTAAAAAAAAAGAAGAAAAAAAAATGCAGCACAAATACGTGCCAGGGATATTTCTTGAAGGGATCTCCTCTGTTTTTCCACAGCTGTGCTCAGACTAAGAACGACACAAAAACGCTGCTGGTACAACAATCACACTCTGACGTGAAAACAGTCACATTCTGTGTCAACACGAATTCCTACACACAGCATATTCTCAGACACACTCTCAGAAAGGGCAGAAAGCTGCAAAGCCAACAGGGCTTTACTGTGATTACAATTAACCAGAGGATAAATCAATTAGAAGGCTGCGATGGACTGGTGCACATCGACCACTTGGAGGAGTGCAGATTCAGAGAGGCTGCATTATATTTGTCAGAGTTGGCAATTCTAGGAAGACAGAAGTGAGAATGGGATTTTTGTAGCCTCACATGTCTATCTTTAAAAGAGCAGCAAGTTTACAGGGGAAGTGATGGACTGAAAGTTAAAACTTATAACAGTTGGCACACTGTCACAGCTATTTGTGGCTTTTGGACCATTCAGTGCACCATCAAAAAACCCAAGGTTAACTGAGTCCTGTGAGGCCATCACGTTTTGATAAAAAATATTTCTTAAGCAGAAAAGTCCAATGAGTTCACATGTGGTGCAATGAAGGAAGGTAATGGAGTGGAATTGGCCAGATGACCGAGGTGAGGACAGCACGTCCTTCTGATGCAGCAGGCAGGGGGCCAACGCTGAGGAAGTACTATACTTCTCAAAGCCAACTTTTAGCACAAATGTTACAATATCTCCAGCTCTTCAGTGATAGATTTAACGACAACCATTCAATTCCATTCAGTAGGAAAAATTATTTCATAAATGCGGCAGTGTGACCAATATTGTAGATCCGAGCGATATACATAACAAAAAGTTCTTTACAAGGTAAATGCTGTAAATCTCCATTTCAAACTAACTACACCAAAACAATAATAATAATATAATAATAATATAATATTTTGATAATCAAACACTCGATTTGCAAAAACAGTCATCTTTTGATTTTGTAGTTATTATTCTATATAGAAGTAGTATAATTATTCTCTACATCTGCTACACAACAAGCTCTTTTCTTCTTTGCTCCTTTCCCTTTTTAAACGTCAATAACAACTTTCTGAGAAGAACTGAGGAATGAGAAAAGAATCGTGACATTATGTAAAGTTTTGTTGATGCTGATAGGCTGAAGCTGAGCGAAGCAGCCCAAAGCCTTAGCTGGGAAGTATGTCAGAGTAAGTGACAGACAGCTGCTCCCAGGGCAGAGCTGGCGGTGCTCGTACATCATCCCACTCCCTCGTCCACTCCTGCTGCACCTCTCGTCTCCTCTATCATCACTGCTTCGCTTGTTCTCCCACAGCACTCTCTTCCCATTCGATTGAATACAAGCAAAGACATAGAGTGCTATTTATAGAAGAGCAGTGCTTTTTTATCAGCCTGTGTCTATTTGTGGCACTCAGAAGTATAGAGGGCTTCCTGCCTGCTGACGTCAGCAGTGCATCGCTGCAGAGGGATGGAGTGAGTGTGAGAAAGGAGAAAGGGAAACACAGAATGAATGAGAACAAATGACAAAGAGAGACAAAACAAGGGGAGGCCAATGTGAAATGGTGCATGACATTTAGTTGTTAAAAGAGCAATTGCATGAAGCCTCTCAGGAGAAGTTAAAGGCTTCATTCCTGTTTGTGAGATCTGAGTATATAATGAGTGCAAATAATATGAACCTGTTTTTTCCTCTATAATATAATTGCAAGCTGCATGAGAGGACGTGAGAGGCTGGGACACAGAGCGGCTCAGGAGAGGATGGATTAGTGGAGAAATGCCAACCACACTGCAGCATGGGTAAACAACATCAGCAAACCCTGGACACACACTGAGTCATATATTAAACAAACACCCAGATTTTGAATTCACATGAAAAAATAAAACATTCCTGATTCTGCACACATCCCACACTGAAAACGTTCATGTGCACAGACAGCGACGGAGGGTGAGAGTGAGGATTGCAATGAAGCGTGGAGGTTTACTCCCACGTAGAGTAAGTGTGCTGCATTAGCTCAGGATAACTCTGCAAATGACAACTGTTCAACAACCAGCACATACATATCTTCAGCTAAGCTTAGCACAGACATAAATCAGACGACAGGGAAATTAAATGGTGGGGAATTTTAAGTACTGATGCATCCCTGGTCTTTAGGTAATTCAAGTATAAAGTAATGTCCCTCACACCTGCCAGAACACATCGTCATTAAACAGGTTAAGTCACACTAAAACACACATTCAGACAGGTGGAAACTGTTCTGTTGTATTTCGGTGTAAAGAAAACCTGTCTCTGTAAGACAATGAAGAGAGCATAGTGATTGCCATTGGTTGGGTGATGGTGTTGAATAAATGCATGTTTGTGGGTTGAAACAAAATAATTCAGGAAAGAAATAAGTCTGTGTCTGAGCTACTTCACAAACTGGTCATCAGTAATCCTGCAAGTCTTCTTTCAGACTCTGCCGCACAAAAATAATAACATCACTACTTCACAAGACACCTTAGTACTGGAGGTTACTGATTCTAAAAATTGAGATGTTACTGCCACAAGACTAAGAAGTATTCTATCAAAGAAATTGATCAAATTGACTATTTATTTATTTTTCATTTTTTTGAAAGCTGCCCTCATGTACGTTTTTGCACATATTCATTCATGACCAAGCACTTTTAATTTGTTTCTATTCTCAGACTAGGTCCGCAGAGTACAGCAAAGCAGAGTAGAGCAGAGTCGTTTAAGTAATAAACAAATCTCTGCAGTAGATGCAGTAGAACTTCATTTTTTCATTTATTTTTTCAATAAACAACCAGTGATACATCAGTAGGCAAGTACTGTACTTTACCCCTCCTTTGAAAAACAATGACATTTACAATAACAAACCTGATTGGCTTCAGTAGTTTGTCCTTACCTGAACCAGGAAGATGATAAGGAAGTAGAAATTGGCAATTCTTCTGAACTGCTCAAACAGGTTCTTTGGTAGAAAATTCCAAACTGTATACTGTGTTGGGAGAGATGAAGAAACATGAATGAGACCCACAGAAAGATATAACAAATCTATGCATATATTTATTTATTGGTTACAAATCTAGATCTTATTTTCTTCTACCAACAGCTGCTCTGATATTTCAGGGCCAATATTTACAGGCTTTGGCCTGCATGAATTATATTCATCATGGATTACTTTTTTAAGGTCACAGGGAAGCTGGAGTTAATCCCAGCAGTCATCAGCTGGTGTACACCCTGAACAGTTCACCAGCCCATCACAGGGCCACATACAGAGACAAGCAACCTGTTAAATTCATTCAGTTTAGAGTCAATTATTAACCTGAACCTGAACCAGTCCACAGACAAAACTCACTCACACCTTAAGAGAAAATGAAAACTCATAAAGAAAGATGGGCTGAAATAAAACAGTGACCTTTTTGCTGTAAGGCAAGATCACTAACCCTTTATCAACCATGTAGCTTGATTAGCAATTTCTCTCTGTAGCGTGGCTACCACTGAACGGCCAATGGGTGTTGTGTTGGGTCGCAAGGTTGGATTTTCTTTAGAAATGTACTGCTGATGCCATCAAAGGTGAGGCATTGCCTTAATGTTGTAGCTCACAAGCAACTTTGTGACATTACCATAAAACAAGGTCCTAGAGTGTGCAAAACAATTACACACACAGCAATTCCCATGCACTCATCCATGTACCTCCACAAGGAAGTAGCAATAACACCTGGTTTATGAGGGCAATGTCGACATGGTAAGTGTTAAAGTGCAGAGGCAGCAGTGAGTAGACCAATTTCACCACAGAGAAAAGAGAGTTAAGGTAATAAGAAAATGGGGGTGGGGTGCAATGATGGTGGTTAAGAGGGGTGGTGCAGCAACAAGAGGGAGAGAGGAGAGGGTGTGGTTGGCCACAGCAGAGTGCAAAAGCAACAGAGTGATGGAGAGCAGAGGCAAAGAGGAGCATAAACACTACAGCCGGGGGTAATTAAAGACCGTTTACCCTGACATACTGGCAGGATCCAATTGATGGGTCCATCCTCACTGGGGCCCCATGCACCACTATAAATCCTACTCTTGTCCTACTGTGGTTGCACTTCTTCTTCCTCATCATTTACAGCCTTTCATATTTAGAATAAAGCAGCCAGCACCTGCCCAGGGGGGGCTGCTAGAACAGGACTAAGGGGTGACATTTAAAAAACGTGGGGTACCATCTATCACAACACAGTGGGAAATGTACAAATTGCGTGCCCTGCTAGTACATTAATAGCAACCATGCATTCCAGCAAGTGACAGACAAATAATCGCCTTCTGTTGGGAGAGAAAAGACAAGCATGTGGACAGGCAGTGGGAGGGGGAAAAACAGACATGAAGACATGGGAATGCACAAAAATGTTCCAGGGCTCATTTAGCATTCCAAGTGTTAGTTAGATAAGAGAAGAAAATGCCTGAGGGAAGTTAAAACATTACATGGAGTGCAGCTGAATAGCAAACATACGTAATGTATTGAAATGCATTTCATTTTTGTATAAGGCAAGAGCTTGGTTTGTGCATGTGAGAGTCCATTCAAACATGTAACATAATCCCTCACTTATAACCATATATATATATATATATATAGCCATGGAATAATACCAATAAATCATGATCAATATACATTGCTTGAAGCCAAAATGTTTAAGCATATCACATTATACTTGTCTGAAGTTAGGCCTGGTTCTTTTTATCCTAAATTCTATGTTTAATTACCAGAACAACAAAAAAGAAACTGATTTTATTATCAACTCTAAACTGACATACCGGTACTTAAGCCTTTCTTGTTCAGGTATATAATCAGATCTTCAAGGTTGGATGACAACAACAGATAAAAACAGACATAATGTTCTTCTTACCTTGGAGGATACAATCCTGTTATCACAGAACTTAGCGGGGATGATAGCGTCATTAGGAGATCCTGATCGATGACCAACAAAGATCGTCCGACTGTCGACTCTTCTCTCATCATTGTTGAGCTACAGCAGAATCAGTAAAACAGTGATTAGACACTATATTTACTGCATCTAAAATCTTATAAGAAAAATAATCCCAAGTAAAGGTTGTAGTTCTTCCATCACAATGAGTCATATCTGACACTAAAATACTCACAGAATAAATTCGAAAAAAGAAATAATTAAAACATTGGGTTTTCTTTTAATGTGGTGTTGAGCTACCAAAATTACCAAAATGGAAAAATACCTAACAAAAACTGTTTAAAAAGACAATAATTGAGGTGGGAGAAACATTTGTGACTGATTCTAAACCCAACTACTTCCAAAGTGATTATCTGTAAAGTATGTGGCGACAACTCTGCATGGTACAAGTGGAGTGGAGAACAATATTACAGCAACGTATCTAAGATATCTTCGATCTACAGGAGGGTTGAATAAATTCCATCCTAGATCCAAGAGCATTAATCAACCAACACATCTGAAAGAATAACAGTTTCTTTTCTTGTAATATCTTCAACCATTTGGAGTTTCATTGGACACTTTAAAAAGGAACTGCAAGACAAGGTTTAACAGGTATTAGGACGTCTCTGCAAAACGGTAAAGTTCTTTTTTAACCTTTTACTTTTTTAGTAAGTAAAGCATTAGTTGCCTCTTTCTGTAAAATATAATTGAAGATACTTAAATAAGTACTAAGGGGCCAATACAAATCCCTCTAATATGACTGTTCTAAACATGTGTAGCACAGGTCATAAGATGATGAACTGGAGTTAGGCAAACATTTGAGAATTGTGTGCACACACAGACAACAGGAAGAGCTGCAGACACTCCATTTGGAGCCAGAGGCACTTCTTAACGTCCCTCAGTCTTAGGTAGGACGAAGCATTCCTCTACCATAAATGGTATAAGGTAGAACCACAAGGAGTGTAAGTACCCTAACATAACAGCACAGTAGCTACAATTACTGTACATACATGTCAAACATGTAACACATCAAGATTAAGCATCAAGAAACCTAGAAAAGGGTGATCAAAAGACTTTGGGATCTTGAAAGCAATAAATATATCTTATTAATAGTTAATATTTTGTCTAATATTGATCTTGGTTATACACCCTTACTATATTCTTTTCTAAGTAAATAACTGAGCTGTTGTGAACAAATTTAAACATTTAATTAAGATGAAGTTTTGTGACTCACAGAAATAAAAAGGTTGAAGAAATGCATTTCTGTTGGTGCTAATCTGTGATGGATAATCCAGTTCTAGCAGCTAAAGCTTGCATGACCCAGTAAAACCTTACAATGATTGGTTGTTTGAAACAACAGCCATAGTGTGGAATATAGAAATTATCCACAGGTCAAAAAACATTGAAGCTCAAGTGAACATGGGTTCAAGACTGGCTTAGATATTTGTAATCTGGGAGAAAGAACTCAAATATTTGCTTTACTATGATAGAAGGACGAACAGCTGGCACTAAAGAGTACTGTTATTATTATGTTTAGTTGACCAATTTTTGTCAAGTAGAGTATATTTTGTGATCACCTCTGTCAGATACACACAGCTGCCACTAATGTATATATAAATTGTCCAGAACCAATCCTTTTTGACTAGGTAGTGCCTTCAATCTCTAAATAAAGAATGACGAGGTGAAAAGAGAGAAATAAGTAAAGGTAATCAGCATCATCTGTAACTGTTACGGCCGTCAGTGTTTATTTGATATCCAAATTTGACTTTGTCTTTTGAAAAATTTTGACTTAGTCATAGTCCCAATTTAGTCGATAAAACTGTTGCCTTTGTGTTGATATTAATTCACAATCTTCCTTCTCCCCAGACAGAGCAGCAGGCTTATATCACACAGACACCTTTTGCTTGAGCAGCAATGTTCACACCTCAGTATGGCTGTCAAAGCTAACATCCCCTTCCCACTGGGTACAAACTGACTCTCCGCCGGCTCAACCCAACAGACCTTGCTGCCAGGTGATAAAA